GAAGGAATAAAAAAGAAATAAAAAAGAAAAGAGAGGGAAAAAAAAAGTAAATAAAAATGAAGTAGAAGAGCCTAGATTCCAAATGAATGAAAACGTGACTGAATTGGTCCTAGTTACTCTTCGGAATGGAGTGGAATAAAGGAAGAGATTCTAAAGTCCGACCATAGCGACCAAATTGATTATCTTCATGCACAAGGATAGTAGATTACCTAGTATAAAAGATTTTAAAATCATCACAAACCTCCCTTTTTTCTTTTCTATTGCAATTTCTGGATTATTATATGATGATTTTTTAACTTTCCATATAGGTTCATATTGAGAATTGACAAGATACAATTTCAACTTGGATACATGATTTCAGCCACTTGGAGTGCACAAAAAGGGAGTAAGAGTATCCTGAAATACTTAGTATTTATAATTAAATTTATTTAATGAATTAAGTGTAGCATAGTTTGTTCATAGCTTCATCAGGTGCACTCAAAGTTTCAAAGACCCATATTTGAGTACCAATATTTGAGAGGTATTCAAATTATATGAATTTATATATAGTGGGATTTCCGTTATATTTTAATGTATACCAATGTGTATATAATTTCCAATTATATTGAGGTGAAATCCACTAATTATTTGTGTGCAAGAGTGTGTAGGAAATATTTTAATAACATGCAGGTTTAAAGCGCACAAAAAATGGAGAACAAAGACATGACCTACATTATATATGCATGCCTCGTGGAGGAGGCTATTAATGCAAAATGTTGAAGGGGATGTGCTTAAGCCCATGTAAGGGAGTCACCTAGGGAGGTAACCCAACTTCTATGATTGGCGATTCCATGAAGGAAGTTCAATGTGGTAGAAACAATCTATATTGCGTGACTCATATAGCACTCGTAAAACTATGGAGATATCCTTGAGATATTATGCTGCTCATTCCTAAGGCAAAAGTGATATTTTATGTGACGTTAGGAATGGATTTATCCTTGAATGAGTTTCAAGGCGGGTAAACTCCCACAGGGTGCAGGTCACATGTACTCTTGGAGAACTCACCTAAGTGAGAGATGTCGTGAGGCCGCGACTATGAGAATTGGGCTATTCTCTAGTAACTCTCATGAGAATCAAGATTAGCGCATGGCCATAAATAGTGCTACTCCGCATCCAAGTCTCAACCAATACTATGTGTGGGATATGTTGAAGTTTGGTTAAAGGTGCCGAGTTCAATACTTTGTACACTCAGGTTCCTCAAATGGAGACTATCATCACTAAGTGAAGGTTCAAGCCCTGAAGGCACCTACACCTATTGCATAGTATTATATTGCCCATATATAAATATATATTTCACTGTTTTTTTTTGTCATGATAAAATTTTAAAGAGTAATGCTACACTTACCACATTTTTATCCCACATTTCTATACCACATGATGTGGCATGTTCATATCATATGCCACATCAATTAAATCAATGAAGTGTATTTTAATTAAGGCAATTAGAAAAGCAAATACTAGAATAACTCATAAAGAAAAGAAAATATTAAATAATTTTAATTGATGTGGATGTTCACCTCAACTGCCACATAAGATGGTATAAAGATATGGTATACAAATGTGGTAAAAAAGGTTTAAAAAATTTAACCGTTTTATTTATTTAATTATTTTGGTTGTTTTATTTTATTTATTGTAGGGGGTTTTAAATATTTCATCATTGGTGGAGCCAATTAAGGCCCACAAGGGTCACTTGACCCTTCTCAACATTTTGAACCAAATAAGTAAATTTAGGTTTTAGCCATAAAAAAATTTTCACTTTTGGAAAAAGTCAAAGTTTTTTCAAAAAAGACAGAAAAACCTCTCAACTTTCAAATCAAAGACATGCAAGTGTAAATGATTTCTTAGGAAATCCAAAAATAAATAAGGGCAAATTTGTCAATTTTGGCTTCTTTTACAAAATTTCTCTCTCCTTTGGGTTTTTCCAAAGTCTCCCCTTGAAAATATTATATTTATCTTTGTTATCCAAGTTGTTTTATAGCTATATTTACTATATTGACCCTTCTTACAAATGTAAATTGTCTACAATGAACATGAATATGATTTATATTTGTTTTCATGTCTTCATATGTCATTTATAAGTTTGTGTCATGGATTTTATTTGATTTTCTCATTCTATCTAAAATCAACTTATAATACTCTTTCATTATTTTTAGGTTGCTAGAATTTGGGTTATACTTACTAAGATATTAAATTTGAGATATTGAAATTTAATCATTATAATGAATTCTTATATATATTTTACCATAAAAACTAAATTCATTGTAATTTTAAAGCTATTTAAAGTTGACCCTCCTTGATAAAATTTCTGACTTCACCGCTGTATTTAATATTCCGGTTTTATTTCTATCTTGAATGCCTTAATTTTCTGGTTGGTGAAGGTTACATATTCTTGGATGCCCATAAAAAGCCACTCCTTCACATTTGAAACAACTACAATACACCATCAGAATATCATACACCACAAACTAATTCTCTCCTTTTATACTTTTATATATATTCTCTACTTTATATTATTATTTTGGCAATGGTTCTGCGACTTGGATACCTATATCCGTATATGAACGTGCTCATAGCGGATCTTGAGTTTGTGTACAAGAGGTCGTATTTTGGAATCTTGTAGACTGTCAGTACCTGCACGTAGGAAGTCTACAAAGGCTCTAGGACAGCACCTTTGACGTGCTACACCGTACCAAACTCACATTCTTACTTATTATTTATTTTGCTTTACTTATCTATTATTTTATTTTCTTCAATTTCATTGTACCTTAAAAGCTTTCCAATTTGTTTATAAGTTATTGATAATGTAAATATTTTTGTATTTGGCTTTACGGAAAAGGAAAACTATTTTTTTTTTCATAACAAAATGAAGGGATTGAATCATGGAATTATGTGAAGTGGGTTCTAACGAGTTGTTAGTGTTGTATTAACTTAATAATTGATTAGCGCCAATACACATACATGTGTAGTAGTACTAGATAATGTTCTTTTGTCAGACTTATGTTATCAAACAAAAGCACGTTACATAACATGTTAGAGTTGCGTACTTATGTAAACCTATCATTTATATTAGAATGACAACTAAGGAATTGCATAGAAGAGGAAACCCACAAGCCCGTTTGATAACCATTTCAATTTTAGTTTTTGTGCTAGAGCATAGAGGAAAAAGATGGGAGAATGGAAGTGAGAATGAGTGTGAAGACGGGATTGAGAGGGAAGATGAGAGGTGAGGATGGGAGGGAAGAGTAACAAAAGTGAAAACAATTTCATCTCATCACGACAATTTCAATTTTTGTTTTTGTTTTTACTTTTGTTACTCCTCACTCTCATCCTCCCCTCTTATCATCTCTCTCAATCTCATCTTCACTCCCATTCTCACTCTGTTTGCCTAAACCCTAAATTAAAATTGAAATGGTTATCCAACGGACCCTAATATAACCAATAATGTTGTACTTGATTGTTGCATTGCACCCACTTGGTACAGTAAGATCAATACCTATCATGTAGTTCGCTGGGGCATTGATTCTAACATCATGTGGGGTATTGAATTTGAGAAATGGAAGCTACAAAATAACTCCACGAAAAAGAAAGAAAAAACCAGATTGTGCAAATCTGAGTACACTGTACGTATCACATATATTCATGGTGGCCGACCCTAGTTCATTACATGTTTCAGTTTTCTGAAGTGCAGAGACAACCCCACATGCTCATAGATAAGAAAGATACCAGCCATTTGTTGTGATGTGAGGCTGCAGCAGCTTAATCTGTGTTTTGATATTTTCATGTACGGTTGGATAAGAACACCAGCTATCTATAGCTTAATCCTTGCATATTAATTAATTATGGGATAACAACCTTATGGTTATGGGGTCATATTTGAATGGTTTGGCTTAAGCTTCTTTCTTTTGATCGGAATTCTACATCATAAATGACCAATATTAGCTGTGCGTGTACTTGCATGCCATAACTCATACGAGAGCTCTAGCTTAGCTAACCCAATCTTCCATAGAGATAGGCTAGAGATTGACAGGCCTAATACACGTCACGGACAAGGAAATTTATAAATCGTATGAAAATATGTTGACCCTAGCATTACTCATAATATTTTCATATCGCTGCGAGAACCAAATTAACATTGTATATTTTCTAACAGTGTTTCATATTGGCACAGTGCAAGTAAAAGAGTTCGAAATATTGTGATGCTACAATGTATAAGCAAAGTAAAACCTAGATTCCAAATTCCAATGCTTGCACAACTACCGTGAGGTCCTTCACTCAAGATAGGATGGATAAATTTCACAACCAGGGAAAAGAGAGGATCTGAATCTTCTTTACAACAATGTTTACAATCCAACGTTCTCTTGCAAATATTTGACATGTTATGTTATTTTGACCTTTATTAGTTTCTTTTTTATAAAAGGGCAAGTCTCTCCAATCCTTCAGTTCTTCATACAGAATATTTTTCATGAACTCATTGTTGGCCGTACCATTACAAAGCATGAGATTTACATAATAATGAGCCTCTGTTTCCGTTAGTTGCTTGCTTGGTTTTCTTCAGATACTCTGTTTGATTGTTTTCTTAGAAGTTTCAACTTCTATTTACCAAAAAGGAAAACTTATTAGGTCTTTCGCATAATGCACATGTGTGCCTTCCTCAAGGCAGCAGGTACATCATTGAGGGAGTGAGTAAATCTTGATCTTGTTAGGAAGCTGACTCCATACCTGAAACAATATTGTCTATGAATTGCATTATTAACACTTGGAACTCTTGATATCCACCAAGAGAAATTAAAACACGATTTGACGTGTGTAAATATTGACATAACTTTGTTTGAATGATACATGAGAAGGAAAAGAAAATCTATATGATTGATTACATTCAACAAGTAGAGCATGATACACACAATAAAAAGCTTTCTCCAAAAGTTAAGAGAAAAATATAAGAGACAAATTCCAGACAGATACTACAACGAATCAATGGAATGACGAGCACAGCGGCGTACCCTCCTACAAATTGCCAAGGAGAAGAGTCAGATTAAGTAGATAGAAATAGAAAGAAAATCGTTCAGAAAAAGAAAAAAAATAAAGAAAAGCCCAAATAATATGTTCACGAACTTGTTGTAAGCTTGTATGTCATGCTGATACATGTGAGCAGCCTCGTTGTTTGCCGGACTTGCAGGATTTGGATCCGTGAGAAGCGACTGCAACAGTTTATATATCAGTAAACCAGCGTTACCCTCATGTATTATGACTGGGAGATAAGTAAATGAGTTGTGTGATTTGAAAATTACTTGAATAGATGTCAAAATCGTAGATACATTGTGGCAGGGTGACCAAGCATCCTGAATTATATCCATGCACAGTGTACCATCGTGATAAACTGCATAAATCACATAAGTAATCAGTGAAGTTTCTTTTTCTCTTGAAAGAAAAAAAAACGTACAAATGTAGAAATGTAGATATGTCAATAAACTGCGAGCAGTGCTCATCTATACTATTAATTTAAGAAACCCTCTTTGTTGGACGTACATGAAACCAATATACCCCAACTATTTTTAAGCAACTCCGATGATTTATTGAAGAACAAAAGATGATAGGATCATCATACACAATACCCATAATTCAACTTCTGATCCCATTCAAGGAATAAACTTCTAATCAGTATACAAACAAGAAGAGGCCTATTGATTATGCCAAGTTCTTGAAAGTTTAGAAGCATACAGGAAACTGTATATCCAATCTAGATCTAAATTGTTTGCATTGTATATTTGTTTGCAGCAGTGCAAACAAGTGCGTAAATAGCCTCTTTGATGGCATGTAAAACTTCAAACTAGAGACTTGAAATGTCATGCAACATAGCTTATTTCTGAAAGAGGACCAAAAACCTCTAATAATTCCAAATCAATTCAATTTAGGCTTCTCATTGTTGTTAGCTTGATATACTTTGTTGATTCGTTCTCTAAAAGTTTTAGTTTTTGAGATCCAATGGAATTGAACATTCGGATACTTTCATGGATGGTATTGATGTGATTCAATTAATAGACACTTACACCCTTAATTGTACCAGACTTGATCTATAAATATACTGGTAAAGACCAGATTGACTAATCCCTATCTACAAGAGAAGATTGTAGCAGACTTACAAGTTAAGTTGCAAGGCTTAAAGTTTAAGCTTTCGGGTTCTGTAGTTGCTAATTTGAATTGCACAGCGAGGTATGCTTATATAATGGAATCTTAAATGAAAACATAGATATAGAAGGGAATTCATTGCAAGTAGATAGATACAAGATTTATCAGACTTACCATTTGGATGGAACATTTCAGAGGTAAATCGAACCCGAGGCGGCTTCTCGGGGTAACGTTCACCAAATGTTAACCTCAAACTGAAAGCACCACCTGAATTTTCCATTTGCACATCAAAACTCAAATTTCCAAATAATAATAATAATAAAATTGAACAGATCTATCTACTACCTTCCCAGGGGCTCTCCTCGGGCCCAAATATGGTGGCGCTCCACACCATCAGGTTATCATCGGACAGAGGGCTGGCGCTGCAACCCTGCAACACAAACAACCCAAATGAAATTCACTAAATTCAGATTGAATTTGATAGGAATTTGAGATTAATTTGAAGCCTCCGTGAAAAATGATACGAAAGGAATTTACCTCAGGAGGCTCGCTTGTTATGGTTCTGAGATCGGACATGAGCCGGAGCTGAGCCGACGTCGCCATTTTAGATGTAAATCACAGAGCTTTGAGTCCTTGTGGACCAAAACCTCGCAGAATATATGTATATATATATATATATAGTAAAGCAAAAGATACACAGATTTGGACGACTTCTTTTTCCCCTTTTTTTAATAAAGGAAGAAAATGAATAAAATAAATGGTGGGGTGAGGTTGGGAAATTGAGGATGAGAACGAAAGAATTTGGGAATATGAAAACCGTGTCTGGAAATCTGAAAAAGAAGAAAGGAATCGAAGCTGGCTGTCTCTCTCTCTGTCTCTCTCTCTCTATCTCTCTGTGCTGTGTGTCTTTGTCTGTGTCTATGTGCGTATGTACAATGTATCTCTCTATCTCTATCTGTAACTAAATAATATTTCTTTCTAATTTTGTTGGCTGGCTATGAGTCTATGACTAATCTTAGCAGCTGGGCTCTCTTGTTTCCCATTGTTAAATTAAATTAAATTAAATTTGTTCCATCGTTTTCCTTCCTGAGAGCCCCTGGTTTGAGAGTTTGGTTGGGGGAGGTTTGGGCTCTTTTTGGTTTTCGGTGGGTAGATGGATGCTTTTGCGGTTTCAGCGGTGCAAGAATTTCACAGCTCGGAACGTGTTCATTAGCGACAATGGGCATTTGCAGAAGTTGTCAACTTTCATGTTGGTTGGTGTTAGCTATTGGGCTATAGCCTTCGTAACTGGGCCTGGAACTTTTCATTTGGGCAATACCTTAGGGCATTGGAACTGTGCAAATAAGCCCATCCATGAGAATGGCCATTTCTCTCTTCTTCTTTTTTTTTTTTTTTTTTTTTTTTTGTTTTAGGTTACACAACGATAGTCTAAGCTGCAATGGAAGGGGATTTCTCACATACGCACACCACGGTGCCATAGCGGTTCGAGCTTGAGACCACTAGTATGCAAGTCAATGCCCTTTTTCAATAGGCTTTATAGAGAAATATAGGTTCTCATTAATTATAATTAAATTACATCAAAGTATTATATACAGAAGACTTTTTTTTTTTTTTTTTTTTTTTTTTTTTTTTTTTTAAACTGTAAAGTACAAGTGCGTGCTAACAATACTCTAACAGATCTTATCAAAACTACAGCTATCTAAACAGAGACTTAACAACAATATTAATATTCTAACTAACTTTGACTTGTTTGACTCCTTGTAGAAAGGTCTCTTTACACCCCCTCAAGCTGAATGGAGGGGACTGAAGTGAAAGTTTGGACATGAGAAAGAGGAAACGTTGCTTGCTCAAAGACTTGGTGTGAATGTCAGCAATTTGGTCTTGACTACAAACATACTTCATAGTCAACTTTTGATTGAGAATCTGTTCTCTAATATAGTGGAAATCTAGCTCAAAATGTTTAGTTCTAGAATGAAACACATGATTATTTGATAGTGCTATGACATATATATTATCACACCATAAGACTGGAAGAGAGGGAAGTTTGTAATCAATATATGCAAATAACTTTGCAAGCCAGGAAAGCTCGACTGCTGTTAAAGTGAGTGATCTGTATTCATCTTCTGTTGAGGATCTTGCCATAGATGATTACTTCTTTGCACACCAAATGATGAGAGTAGATCCTAGAAAGATGCAATAACCTCTAGTAGATCGTCGATCATAAGGGCAACCTGCCCAATTTGCATCAGAGTAGGCTTGTAGAGAGAGAACATTAGTAGCTTGCTTTTGAATAAAAAGACCATGGCTGATTGTGCCTTTAAGGTATCTCAGAATTCTTTTTACTGCTTGTAGATGAGGGTCTCTTGGAGTATGCATAAATTGACACACCTAGTTGATTGACTGCATATGAGAGATCAAGCCTAGTCCAAGTAAGATACTGGAGAGCCCCCACAATAGATCAATATTCAGCATGATTAGGCAAGAGATCACCACTGTGATCTAATTTTATAGAACCAACAGGAGTGGCACAAGGTTTAGCATCAGTAATTTGCACCTTGGTGAGAAGGTTTGTGGCATACTTGGCTAGATATAGAAACAAACCAGTGGATGATCTCTGAACCTCAAGACCGAGGAAGTAATGAAGATGACCAAGATCCTTGACTGGAAATGGGGCACCCAACTGAGTAATAACATAGGTACAGTCCAAAGTAGAAGGAACTGTGATGATAATATCATCCACATATACTAAAACAATAACCAAAGAACGAACGCATTTGATAAAAAGAGAGGTATCATACTGTGAAGCACTGAAACCAAGAGAAAGAAGTGTTGAATGCAGTTTTTCATACCAAGCTTGTGGAGCTTGCTTTAGACCATAAAGAGAACGATGGAGCTGACAGACATGAGTAGGTTTAGAAGAATCCACAAATCTTGGGGGTTGTTCCATATAGACTACTTCCTTAAGAAAACCATGGAGAAAAGCATTACTTACATCCAATTAATTAAGAAGCCAGTTATGATGAACTACCAGGGTAAGCAAAAGTCTAATGGTGACTGGTTTGGACACAGGGCTGAATGTTTCACCAAAATCCACACCCTCTTGATGATGATAACTTTTTGCAACAAGGCGATCCTTATATCTATCCACAGAACCATCGAGTTTTCTTTTGATTTGAAAAACCCACTTGCATCCTACAAGATTCTGTTAAGGACAAGAGGGCATTAAACTCCGAGTAACAATGAGTTGGAAAGCATTAAACTCTTCTTGCATGGCTTGTCTCCAATGAGGCTTGAAGATATGTTATGGGAACAAAGTCTAAATCTGTAGAACTAATTGAATTTGGCAGAGGAAGTTTAGTGGCAGTGTAGGCCTTAGGTTTGTATATTCCACTTTTAGATCGAGTCTGTATTAGGTGAGTGGGTTAAATTGGTGGGAGGGGGGAACCGCATGAATAGAAGCAGCAGCAGGATAGACAAATTGTGTAGTGGCAGATTGTGGAGGAAGTGAAGTAGAGAGGGGAGAGAAGAGGACGAAATAAATGAGAGAGCTTGGTGAAGCAGAAGAGGAAGTAGGCAAATGAGATGAGACTAAAGGTAGAGTATGAAATGGAAAATCTGTTTCATGAAAAAGAACATGCCTAGAAATGTAAACATGACCAGTGTTTTGAAGATCAAGGCATCTATAACCTCTATGATGACAACTATAACCTAGAAACGCACACTTTGTGCTCTTGGGATCAAGTTTGGATGAGGTATAAGGCTTAAGCCAAGGATAGCAAGCATAACCAAACACCCTAAGTTGAGAATAATCTGATTTTCTTTTGAGAAAAAGTTCCAAAGGGGAGATAGTTTTGGAAGAAATAGGAATTCGATTAATAAGGTAGATAGCAGTTGTAAAGGCTTCAACCCAAAACTGATGAGGAACCTTAGAAGCAGACAGTAAAGTCCTAACAGTTTCAACCAAATGTCTGTGTTTTCTCTTAGCACACTCATTTTTTTGGGGAGTGTGAGGACAACTAAGTTGATGATTAATGCCATTATCCTTGAGGTAGGTCACAAAAGCAGTACTAAGAAACTCACCCCCTGAATCTGATTGTAGGGCCTTAACATAAAGAGATAACAACTTTTCAACATGGGACTTGAAATGTAGAAATGTTTGAAAAACCGCAGATTTTGTCTTTATTGGATAAAACCAACGGAATTTCGTACAGTCATCAACAAAGAGTACATAATACCTATAACCATTGAAATAAGTAACAAGGGTTGGTCCCCATACATCAGAGTGCACTAAGGCTAGTGGTGTATATGCAACTCTTAAAGAAGTAGTAAATGGAAGTTTAGTACACTTCCTCAAGGTATAATTAGAACAGAAAAATGAGACATGAACAACATCAGATAAAGGCAAAAGTCAATTAGGAACCACTTTATTGAGGATTTTGGAGGAGGGATGACCCAATCTTTGATGCCAAGTGTTGTAGGAAGCCTTTGTAGCAACATGCACAATGAAGGGAAATCGGTGAAGAAGACCTTGAAAAAGATAGAAACCATTATGTGTAGGGGCTTGAAAAAGTTTCTTCCTCGAGATTCGATCTTTAACAAGGAAGCCATGTTCATCAAATTCCATAGAACACTGATTATCCTTTGTGAATTTATGCTCAGACACCAACTTATATGCAATTTGAGGTACATGCAACATATTATGAAGATGAAATGTAGAGGATGGAGTGTGCAATAAAGAAGAACCAAAGTTGAGAATGGGCAAACCTTTTAAATAGCCTACAAACACCTTGTCAGAGCTAGTATAAGGAGTAGAGATATAAAGATGAGACGAATCATTGGTCATGTGTGAGCTAGCACCAGAGTCAGCAAACCACAGAGAATTGGAAGAGGAAGTATTGGCATACGTAGCAGAGAGCTTGGCAAGAGGAATTCAACCTTCTTAGGATGGATTCAACCGATTGTAACAGTCAATGGCAGCATGACCAAAGCCATTACAAATCTGACAAATAGTTTTACCACCAGGGGAACTGCCAGAAGAAAATCTTGAATTGGAGGAGGGTGCAGAAGATGGACGAGAACGATCATTGTGAAAATTGTTGTGACGTGGAGCAAAAGAAAATTGAGAGTTGTTGGTGTGAAAATTGTGAGGTTGCAGATTTAAAGAATTATAGTTAGATCGACCTCAGCCACGATTGAAAGAATTTGAGTGATAATGTTGCTGGTGAGCAGAATATGCCTGAGGTTGAGTAGGTGTAAGGAGTAATGGTGGTTGTGGTGGCAAGGCTTGGTGAGAAAAAAAAGCCTGAGATGAGGGAGAGGATTGAAGGTGTTTCTTGTGTGCCATAGACACTTCCTTGTTCAGTAAAAGGCCATGAAGTTCATCCATAGTAGTGTAATCAAGACAAAGCTCGATGGAGGTCACAAAAGACTCATACTCATCAAGAGACCATTGAGAATAATAGCAATAAGATCAGATTCATCCACCGAAGTACCAGCGGCAGCCAAAGCATTGAAAATCGACTTAATATGCCGAAGATACTCAGAGATCAAAGAAGAACCTTTCTGAGCTGATTGAAGACAAGATTGGAGTTTATGAATATGAGATCGCGATACACCAGCAAATCGCTTTTCCAAAATTTGCCACAATTCATGAGCAGAGGTAACGCCAACAGTAAAATGAATGAGATCATCAAATAAAGTGGAGTTGAGCCAAATGATCATATTCTGATCTTTCTCGTGCCAGAGCTCATAAGCAAGATTGAGCTGAGAGATACGATTTTAAGAGGAATCACAAAGAAACTGAGGCGGTGCGGGTTTGATCCATCAACAATTCCAGATAATTTGTAGTGACGAAAGATCGGAGCAAACAGAGAGCTCCAAAGAAGGTAATTGTCGCGCTTGAGTTTGATTGGAACCTTGCTTCCAATATTCTGAATCGTGATCGAGTGCATCAGAGTGAAATTAGGATTTACAGCAGTTAAAGAAAGAGGAATTAAGGGAGAAGAGTTAGACGATAGAGAGGCCATTGGGAGAAAAGTGGGAAAAGCATAGAGGTCGTGTTTGGCTAGAGAGAAAGTCATAGAGAAAATGACTGGGAATGAAGATCGTGATTGGCTCTTGATACCATATAGAGAAATATAGATTCTCATTAATTATAAGGGACATTAAATTACGTCAAAGTATTTATACAAAGACTAAAAACTGACTTTGCTTACTGTATAAGAGTCGTGCTCTAACAATACTCTAGTAGATCTTATCAAAACTACAGCTGTCTAAACAGAGACTTAACAACAATATTAATATTCTAACTAATTTTGACTTGTTTGACTCCTTGTAGAGAGGTATCTTTAGGCGCTACCCCATTGGCAGACATTTCTCTTCTTAGAAGGACGATTTTGTGAATGAATTGCATTTTGAATGAGTTGAAAATTGTGAATGATATGTGTGTTATTAGTTCAAATCGAGATAGCATCCCCCTTCTCTCTAATATGGGATATTAGGTCCTAACACTTGATGCTCTAGCCCCATCCTCCACAAACCTACTTTCAAGGCTCACGTGTTCACCTCTCCTATGAGTTTTTTTTTAAATTAAAAAAAAAGACATTTTCTATTGACAGGGGCGATAACAAACTAAACTCGAACACACTACACGGATGCTAAGACTCAAAATCAGAACCTTTTCAACCACTACACTAGTGAGTCCTTTGCCCTCTTCTATGAGTTTTTAGTCTTCTTGTGGCAACTGCAGATCAACTAGCAAGAGTGATGGTCGATTTGGCAATGTGCTACCTATAACCTAATTTCGTTTATTTTTTCTTCCAAAAAGTTGTGTGTGGTTTGCACGTAATATATTTGCTTGGTATTCGTTTTGAAGGATCACCTGCGAGGCACATATAGTTTTGTTTTATCATAAAAGTTAATGAAGTTGGTCATAAATGACACATTACAACAAAAATTTTAATTGGGTGACATTGCTTCAATTTTTTTCTTCAAGTGGCACTTTCTAACGATTCAGGTGGCATTGGTAAAAGTTTTCCTTCCGATCTATACGTTGTGTAATTGTACCATATCTGGGCTTGATAATGCAAGTTTCATTTTCATTGGCCAAAAATAGTACAATGAAGCTCACATTTTGGCGGTAAAAAGTTGATAACGAATGTGATTCAAACAAGTAGGAAAAAAAAGAAAAGGGAATGTGATTTTAATTAAATGATGAAAACTGAGCATTTCGATTCGGGACATGTGAATGTGATTACACTATCATGATTGAAAACAGCTCAATGAGTGGGTGAGTGAGAGTACAATGTCCTCTCACACACACAGATATACATACATACACATATATCTTTATATATACAGAGAGAGAGACATATGGATATGGCGTGATTAGGTAGGACTGCTCAGACCAACCGCAACAAGAAATCCCAGAAACAAAACTTGGTTAAAATAAAAACCCTTTAAATAATAAATGGTACGAAAAGAAGAACAAAAAAAAGTCACAAATTTTCGAGGAAAGCGAAAGCCCAAAAAACCACAGCTGTAAATCCACGTTTTTTGGCAGGAACTGGATCCCATCCCCTCATATCTTGTGGGGTTGTAAATTTGTTTTTGTGGTGTTTTGCTGTTTGGGTTCCTTGTCCTCCTTCTCTGTTTGTGTAAATCTTTGTTTGTTTGTTGTGTGTGCAGTGCAGTAGTTGGTCTCCCAAATCGAGGTTGAGAGTTATTCTCTTTTCATAGCTCCCTTTTCTTGCTTCTTTTGCCTCTGCATTTTCTCATTTGTCCATCCAAGTATCCATGTTCAGTCACCTCAAAAATCCCACTGCTACTTCTCACTGAATTAAACCTACTTTTATATAACTCTATATATACATATATTAACCTGTCATTCTGTTACTGATCCTCTAATTGCTTTTACAACACTATATATGCACTTTTCACATCCATTAAATTGCCCCCACACATTTTAGTCCCTCTCTCTCTCTCTCTCTCTCTCTCTCAAAGCTTCCTCTCCATTTCCACTTAAATGGCTTGCTTACACCATCACACAATTTCTCTTCTGTTTCTCCTGATTCTGAGCTCGACCCAGTTAACCCAGTTGAGATTCATGGCTGAAGGCAGAGCAATTCACAACAGGGTTGGGATTTCCCAGGTGGGTTTACAACTATATATTGATTACTCATCATATACTAGTGCAATGCTTTCTCTTTGAACTTTCATCAAACACCAGTGAGTTTTAGAAGAATTCAATGCATTAAAATTTTGTTTTTCTGGTGTTTTTGTATGGTTGGGTAGGCAGGAAATGAAGAGAAGAAAGTGATTGTAAGAGGGCAGATAGGTTCAAGGCCTCCAAGGTGTGAGAGAAGGTGCAGTTCATGTGGGCACTGTGAGGCCATTCAAGTGCCTGCAAACCCCCAAGTCAAATCAGGCAACAAAAACTCCTCTTCTGTTGCATCCACCATTGCTTATGCCAGAGGTGATGAAAACTCCAGCAACTACAAGCCCATGAGCTGGAAATGCAAATGTGGAAACTCCATCTTCAACCCCTGATCATGATGATTAACTTTTTTAATTATAATTAATTATGGTTAATTTATAGGTTATGGAGCATTACCATTTTTGGATCCTGTAAATGGAGGATAATTATGATCTTACTACCCCAAAAAAAAGAGGTTTAAATATCGGTTCCTTTGGCCATGTAATTTCCCCTGTTTTTATTAGCTCTGTCTGACATCTCTGATTAGCATATATACTTAATGCAAATATCATTGCTTGGAAGTTGGAGGCTTGGATTGGACCCTGATTTCTTTGTTTTTTATTTTCTGTTCATTTTTTTCTTGATTTTTGTTTGATGGAAAGTGACAATTACATTGCTACTGTGGCCTTGTTTTGTGCACAAAACTGTGATGAGAGATGAGAAAGGAGGAGATGTACAACGCAATGCAGGACATTTTTGGTAGACTAAGATTTTTCCAAATTTGTGAGATTTTTACCTTTTCACCACGCTACCGTTCCGTTGTTCCCAAGAATTAGACGTTGGAATTTACAGAGGTAACGTAGCGTAACAAAACACCCATTTACCACTTAACTGCGATCTTTTTATAGCAAAAAAGTACACTTTGCATTTCCCCAGATGCTCTATCTCCCTTTAACCATACTTTTGCTGACGTAAAATTTTGTAGTTAGTTTGCAACTAAAAGCTTGTCCAAAAGGAGATTTGGCACTTTTGGCTTTCCTTTGGATTGTTAGCGATGATAAGAAATGTGTCATGTAACATGTCCATTAAATGCTTAACATGGTTTATAATTATATCGTGCTATATTTAGCATTAACATTTTAGACTATGTATATGGATAATAATTATGCATTACTCAAACGAATATCGACATCATTAACTAACTTTTAATTTAGTGATATTTTTCATTTCTTCAAGTAACGTCTTGAGTTTCTAAGTCCATTCTAACTCTTCAAATGAAGTTGATTAGATTAGCATTTGAAGGTTCGCTTAGAACTTTGTATCACTCCATGGGAACCACAGCGGCATGGACATTACTGTGGGAAAACACTTGGAGATAATAAGAAAGTCACAACTATTTTTTCTTCTTCTGCAGTGGTCCTTCTTTCATCGAGAAAATTAACAAATCATTCACGTAAAAAGAAAAGTTTTAATTTCTATGTTCGCAGCAGCAGCTTATCTTGTTTGGGCAAAAGCCTTGCCTTGAAACTCTGTAATTCACGTGCGATTCAAAAATGAGATGAGAATGTTGGTTGGTGCAAACAATCACATTGAAACTTCTCCATGCCTCATTCATTCTCCCAAGTTTTTTGCGCTTTTTTTCATGTCACAAACACCAAACCCCAAAAAAAATAACACATTGAAACTTCTCCATCCGTAGGGCATGGACAAAACGTCCTCCAACAATCAACAGTTACAATAGGGATAGGCCGCTCCCCAGTCACTATCCATGGGAACTAGTGTAACAGCCTCTCCGTTAGGGCACTTTCATTTCATGGAATGGGGAGCAACGCACGTTTAGGCCTGAAAGCGCAACCAAACAGAAGAGAGCAGTAATAAACACAATTCAAATCAGAATTGGGTTAAGCATAAAATTATCTGGCATGGGGAGCCCCCACTGCCACAATATTCTTTGATTCTCCGGTGGCAGGTGAACCGAGACACATCAATAGAAAAGACAATTTAGAGCAGAATAATAGCATAAAATTTTCCTGGGTTTAGATCTTCAAATACACATGTACCAAGCTACCGATGCGATGGAGGCAAGACAACCAGGCAGATGAATAAACTTCCAGGTTTGCAGTAGGATCCCATTTGAGAATGAATTGAACATAATTTACGAAGGCATTTGGGATGAGCAAAAGTATTAGAAGAAAATCAAATCTCTGCCTCAGTTTATTTCAAATCTATGGGATATTAAAATTAATAGCATCACAAGTTATTTCCAAAATTAAATGATGTTATGTTTGTTAGTGCAATCAGCTTCTAAGTTGAAGAACTCTGTTTCGCTAGAATTGGACCTTTTTGGCCTCTTCCACAAAGGCAACATCCCCCACTCTTATTCAATCCAAAGGCAAAGGGATTGCATTTAATTTATTGATCCCTTTTTTCACCACAAATTGATATCGACGCCCTTTGTTTTTAAGAAATTTTTTTACTTGCTTAAAAAAGAGACTGGATTTATTCAGGCTCCCCAATAAGGCCCATCATCCTCTCCTCCCCTACTAAGACGAGAACTGAAGCTCAGGTGTTTCAAGCGATGGTGGTGTAGCTAGTGTTGTAATAAGGATAAACGAGTACTTCACAAGCTGGTAAGCAACCATTTCTGTAAACCGCACCAGAAGTGGCAGATACATGAAGCTGGAACTAACGGCGATCTGATGGAAGACGGTTACGATGGAGGAAGCAACAATGGACTTTTACACTAGTAGATCGTTGCTTATGCTGTAAGATTTTAGTTACCACCTTGCTGTGTTGGTGCCCAGGTGAGGTAGATGAAAGTCAACTGTAACACAGCTTGAGATAGCACAGTAGCTCATGAATTAGCTTCATTTGGGATGAAAGAAGGGGCTGGCTTTGCTTGATTATAACCCTCCTAGTTGTGAACTTGTGATCCAGGTCTTGGAGATGTTAACACAACATTAGCCGGAGCTTTATTAGAGAAATGATTCTCAGACTAGAAAACAGTTCAGTTTAACCTAACCAATAATTAAGGCCCCGCAGAGTGAGTGATATTGGCCTTGTAAGTTATAGTGCACTCGTTCGTGCTACTAAAACACATACAGCAATCAAATACAGACAGCCCCTTCAAGAAATAACAACATTAGCCATACACCAGGCTCATCAATCAAACTCTCAATCAAATCATTTGCAGGTGTATTATGAGCAATAAGGTTCTCGTTGTCTACACTCTATAACTCCCAGCTTACAGAGTAAAGAGACAATTCAAGGCACAATAAAGAGAAGGGATAAACAATCTTCTCTGAGATGAAAATAGTGCACGTATTGCACGTTGTCCTCTTGAATTGATTGTACTGAAATATTTACAGAGACGAAGAATTGACAGACTTTAAGCAAACAACTGAATACCAAAAGCTGGAAGATCAAGTGGCTATATTACCAGAATTATAGAAGCAAAAGCCAAGACAGACAAAAATTCCATTTAAGAAATCACCACCACCACCCTGAAATACTCTTTCGTTAACATTTGCAAGTGTTCCTTGTCCATAAACCCTAATATACAATAACATACTTTAGAAGTATTGATGACTTGTACGTCTGCAAGACCATTGCGAAACTAAAGCACTCAAGAAATGAGACTAAAATGAATGCAGGCAAACCATTTCCTATGTTTGTGCGATCTTCTATGGTACTCAGTTCATCAATGGGGAAATCTTGTTTGTTGTGCATACCCACACATATATGCATAATGTGTAAGAAAAAAAAATGGAACTACAAACCGTATTCAAACATTACTCATTCACCACATGCACCATATAACGCATTGAATAATTTCTGTAATGCAATATAATTTATTCAACATGATACAAAAAACAAAGAAAGAAAATAACATATCAGACCTAGAAATGTATCGTCAACATCTATCTGGTCCATATCAAATGCCAAGGATACACAACAGCGCCAGGCAAATACTGAAAACAAATACCGTGTTTGCAAAATTTCGTTATAGAGTAACTATGGAGAGTTGTCAAAGGCATTTACACCAAGGATAGCAGAATGAACCTCGAATTCTCCATCAGCTGCAGCTCACGAGTGCATATCTATACTTGCTGCTTCACCCACTGCCTCTCACAAAATTCCTCAATGCTGTGACCACTGAATATTCTTAATATCAATTCCATCCTTCACCATCTCATAAAGCGGGCTCATATCCCTCAACTTCTTCACCTGCTGCACCGTCAGCTGAACTGCCCGGTCAATCTCTGCCTCCGTGGTGAACCGTCCAATCCCAAACCGAATCGAAGTATGAGCCATGTCCTCATCCACCCCCAAAGCCCTCAACACATACGAAGGCTCCAAACTCGCACTAGTACAGGCACTCCCACTCGACACGGCCACCTCCTTCAACCCCATTAACAAGCTCTCCCCTTCCACGTAAGCAAACGACAGATTCAAATTCCCAGGATACCGTCTCTCGGTGCTACCATTCACCACAACAAAATCAAGCTTTTCCCTAATCCCATTCAGCATTCGTTCCTGCAACTCTGTTATCCTCTTCTGATCATACTCCATCTCCTTCTTCGCAATCTCACAAGCCGCACCAAACCCTACAACCAATGGCGTGGGCACGGTGCCACTTCGAATCCCCCTCTCTTGCCCACCTCCATTCATTTGGGGCTCGACCCGAATTCTCGGCCGCCGCCTCATATACAGAGCTCCAACCCCTTTCGGCCCATAAACCTTGTGCCCGGAAAGCGACATCAAACTCACATTCCATTTGTCCACTTCGATTGGGATCTTCCCAAGGGCCTGAGCAGCGTCGGTATGGAAAGGAATTTTGAATTCCTTGCAAATTTCCCCAATTTCCTCCATCGGCTGAATAACCCCAATCTCATTGTTCACCGCCATGACCGATACGAGCCCGGTATCGGGCCGAATCGCATCGCGAAGCTCGTCCAGGTCTATAAGCCCATCGGACTTCACTGGAAGGTAGGTGACATCAAAACCTTCCTGCTGAAGATGACGGCACGAATCCAGAACGCATTTGTGCTCGGTCTGGGTGGTGATGACGTGGCGCTTCTTGTCCTTGTAGAAGTGCATGACGCCCTTGACGGAGATGTTGTTGCACTCGGTGGCGCCGGAGGTGAAGATGATTTCTTTGGGGGAGGCGCCGATTAAATCGGCGATCTGGGCGCGGGCGGTTTCGACGGCGGAGTCGGACTCCCAGCCGTACATGTGGGTCCGGGAGTGGGGGTTGCCGTAGCGGGTGAGGTAGTAGGGGAGCATGGCGTCGACGACCCTGGGGTCCACCGGCGACGTGGCCTGCATGTCCAGGTACAGAGGCCTTCCGGAGATTTTGACGCCTTTCATTGAAATTCCATCTGTGTCTTCGTAGGGTTCGGCTACGGCGGCGGCGGTGGAGAGGGCGCGGGCCAGGTGAGAGGCGGTTGATGTGGGTTTAGGGGTTAGGGTTAGGGTTTGGCGGAGAGTGGAAGCCAGAAGCTTCGAAGCCATTTTTTGGGGGTTTTTGCTTGGTTTGGTGGTGTTGTGATGAAGGAGCAAAGGAGAGAAAAGGATCACATTTTAGAGTAAGAAATTAAATTCACCGTTCTTCGATCTAGAGAAGGACACGTGGCAGCCTGTGAACCCCGCATAAGCTGAGAAAACGACGTCGTCAAGTGTATACAAAAAGTTGAAGCTGTAAAGTGACCAGATTTGGGACACGTCCACTTGCCCTAAATAAATCACGCAAGCCAGGTGTTGTTTCCTTTTTATCAAATTGTGAAGGAAAGGAAAGGATAGCAAACCCACTCTCTCTCTCTCTCTCTCCCTCTTCTCCGTCACTAACTTATTGGTTACATTGTCTCTGTCCTTTAATCAATAGTTCAAAGTTCCAACTTCCATTACCAGATTCCAGATCCAAATCTAGGTGGGAAGAAGAAACATTGAAGGCTCGCCAATAAAACCCATTGCTCTGATCTTGCATTTTTGTTGTGTTTCCATGGCTATGTGTATCTAAGTATATCTACCAACATTTCCGGTTTCTGCCATATTTCATTTTTGGTAACTTACCTACCTACACCAGAGAGAAAAAAAGGTTCACTTTTTGTCATTGGCAGAATCCAACGGCCTCCAACACTCGCTGGTATGTTTCTCTCTCTCTCTCTCTCTCACTCACACACACACACACACACACATGAGCATTCCTTCTTCTTTTTTACTTTGTGAAATTTCTTAAATGTTGCTGCTTGCAATCAGATTGGGTGGTGTGCTGTAAGAGCATGTTCAGATCTGGGTTGATGTTTTCAATGTCTTAGAATTTTGCTCTGTTTTTTGTTCTTTCAGTTTCTTTTGTTTCCCGTTCTGATATCTACACTATTTGAACTGGGTTGGCTTTGTAATGTGAAAAAGATAATTGATTTGGTTACATAGTGATGAAATCCAAGTGGGATTCCTGCACAATTTGGCAACTCTCATTGGTGATAACAACGTGAATAGCTTCCCATGTGAAAATGGATGACATTGATATATGAGGTTGCTTATTGGGTTCTGGTCTAGTTGAATTCAGGGTTCCTGTCTAAGCACTATGCTGATATTTGGTTGGATCCGTAGGGTTGGATTCACATATTTACTGCTATACAGTCACAATTTTTTTTTCCATCAGTTTCCAATGAACTTATATTTGTTGTACTGAGATTTTATGAAACTAAATTTACCTATTTTCAGCTTATGATTTGATGACACTAGGAAGAATTCGGTTTTCGTTTCCCCTTCTTTGAATACAGGTCGAGGAATTTAACAGAAGTAGAACTTTTATGCAGGTGTTGTAAAGAAAATATTTTTGTTGAGCCTTAAAGAGATTAGGCATGTTCAAGCTATCTCCTCGAAGGAACTCGAGATCTAAAGGTTTCAAGGTAAAACATGCTTTACAGCTATTTCTTTTGGCGGGTGTCTGCATCTGGCTAGCTTACCAAGTCAAGCAGTCTCATGGTAAGAAAGCAGAATTCAGGCAAAGCATAAAAGATGGGGATCAAATTGTTAAGTTAGGAAGAAAGGACCTCAAGCCTCTTGTGGAGGAAAGTGTCAATAACAATGCAAGGGAAAAGGAGGAGGAAGAAGAAAACAAGCCTGAAGAGATTGATAATGTAGGGAGAGGCACTGGAGACGATGGGATAAGTGAAAATGATGAAAATAAAATTGAAGAAAGAACAGATGATAATGGTGTTTCAGTAGAAGAAGAAAGGGACACGAGCAAGGAGAACGAAAATGAAGAGAGCAAAGAGAATGAAGACAATAAAGCCAAGGAGAGTGAGGAAAGCAGTGAGAAGGAAACTGAAGAGACCAAAGAGAAGGAGAATGTAGAGACCAATGAGAAAGAAAGTGAACAGAAGGAGCATGAAGAGACCAATGAGAAAGAACGTGAACAGAAGGAGCATGAAGAGACCAATGAGAAAGAAAGTGAACAGAAGGAGCATGAAGAGACCAAAGAGAAAGAAGGTGAACAGAAGGAGAATGAGATCAAAGAGAAAGAAGGTGAACAGAAGGAGAATGAAGTGACCAAAGAGAAAGAAGGTGAACAGAAGGAGAATGAGGAGAACAAAGAGAAAGAAGGTGAACAGAAGGAGAGCGAAGAGACCAAAGAGAAAGAAAGTGAACAGAAGGATAATGAAGAGACCAAAGAGGAGGGAAGTGAGGAGAAAGGAACATCAGTGGAGAGTCAGGGAGTGGATAATAAAGAGGGGGAAGAACACATTGAGACAGATAATAAAGAAAACGAGGCTGAAGAGAAGGAAGGTGATAAGATTGAGCAACTAATTTTATCTGATGATCGGGTTCGAGATGGAGGTGAAAAAAATGATGAGGGGGCAAGAGAAGAGCCTTACAAGGCTGATGATGCTTCCAGTGCTGTGGCCCATGAAACTCAGAATGCGACAGCAAATAACGGACAAGATGGTGGTAACAAGAGTAATCACTCAGAACCAGAGAATGGTTCCACGCCCAACTCAACTGAGCAGGAGAAAGTCGATGCTAAGAAAGAGGACTCTGCACAGCAAAATGTTGTATTAGAGCAACCAGAGAAATCTGATGTACCTGCCAAAAGCGAGCAACAAGACTCTAGCACCACAGCTTCCACTAAAACTGAGAATGGAGAGGCAACTAAGGGAGTATCTACAGATACTTCTAGTAATTCTGAATCTGTTGTGTCGGAGAGTCAGATTGTCCACTCCAATACATCTACAGAAACAGAAAATAGTTATGCACCTTTAGCCATGAGCATTGTTCAGACTCAGAAGTTCAGCAGTGACACTGAGGTAGAAGGGACACAGGAAAGTACACTATCTCAAAAAACAAACGACAATGAAGATGGTGGCCAAAAGCAAGAAGCTGATTCTTCTAATCCTTCATTCCAACAAGAGAAATATGCACCCCCAAACGCAGATAACAAATCTGATGCAGGCCAGACCGTAAATGACAGTGCTGTTCCAAACAACATGAATGAAAATGCAAATGGCAACGACAACACAGATGCAGGCCAGAAGGAATCAGTTGACTCTTCTCATTCTTCTGATTCTTCAGTATCCCAAGACAAAGAGGAGTCTTTAAACACAAATAATAATGTGGAGGCTGGACAGAATGAGAATGAGAATGTTCTTCAAAGCAAGACCGAAGACAATGCAGATGTAGGCCAAAAGGAAAATGAAGGTGCAGGCGGAGAAGAATCTGGTAATGCGCAGAAGGAGAGTGAAGATTCCTCGAACACGGACGAAAATACTAATGAGAGCCAGAATGTTACGGTTGATTCTTCACATTCTTCGATCCTTGAAGAAGAGAACGAGGCTCGTATAGACCTGGAAACTCTGCCAGAAAGCAAAATTGAAACTCATACCAATGATGATACGGCTGTAGAGTAGAAATTGTAATAAGTTGATCGTTCATTCCGTGACCGTTTATATCATTTTGTTTTCATCTTTTTGTTCAGAGGTGATTAGGCAAAACTGTAAGGTTCATTGCTCATTGTACTTGATAAGTTGTAAGATCCAAGGTTTGAAATTACATAATTCCTGTGATGTTCCATTCTTACATGCTGTTGTTCCTCTTACTCTTTCTTCGTCTGACCTGTCTTACTCTCTCTTCTTCTGAACTTTGGCTTTCCCCAAAAGGATGACTGATTTTCCTTTATTGCTTGGTATGGCGAGAGAATGTGTTTAGATTTAGAACATCAAATCTTACATCGATTCTTCCGAAGTTTTGAATTTCCTTTATTGTAGCTTCCATACTATAACGTTAAAATGAACACGGTAAAAAAAAAAAAAAAAAAAAAAAAAAAAAACCATTAGGAAGAAAAAACAATTTAATCAAACACAGATGAATGGCGTTAGAAACACATAGAGGAAAAATAATCAAATTTTCACAATCTGCATTTCTTTTACTTTTGTTACTGCTCTGATTTGGGAAAATGACACCAACCATGTGATATGAACAAACAAAAATTGGAACCGGGTTTTTGGAGTTACCCTTCAACTCTTTGCCAACTCAACAAAAATAGGCTCAAATTCACAACTGAACAACAGTAAAATAGAACTGCAGCTAGACCCATTAAACTCACGTTAATAAGGTTTACTTCCTAGTAATTAGCTCTTATCCTAAGAGCTAACTCCACCTCCTCCTTTCTAGCATTTATCATAGCAAGCTTATAACAATTCAACAACCAAAGAACTTTCTATGGGTGGGTTGAAGATTGTGGGTATGAAGACGGGAATGGGAAAAAAATGCTTAATGGGGATGGGGATGGGAATGGCATACCCACCCCCAATTCAACACATTGCATCCCTAATTATTAGGCATCTACTTACCAAAACACAAAGATATTATATAATAAATATCAACGTTTTGGAGTTTTTATCTGCATGTACTTGTACTCAAATTTTCTTCAACTATTTTCATCACTCAAAAGTTACAACCTAGTTTCACTTGGGAAGGTGTGCGGCACGTATTAATGGGTGTGAATAGAAAATGCCATAAGAATTCTCCACATTCCAAATCACACTAGATACTTTAAACTAGAAAAGGTAAAAACAATATCTCATGATCTTATTTATGGGTTTCAATGTTTACAGAAAAACATAACACAACTTGCCACAAGGATTTTATCCAGAATTCATAATGTGAAACAAGTGCAACCAATTCATATCCAAAGAAATCCAAGGTAGTCTAATGAATCTGTCTAACATGAAAAACATGGACAAGAGTTATTCCAAATGGCGTCTCTTTGAAGTATCCCAAAAGCTAGCCTAGTGGTGCTCGTGCTTCTTTTCAAAAAGACCATTTGGACCTGAAGACCAATGAAAAACATATCAGATATTCGAGCAATACTAAATCCAGGCAATTCTTCTTAATAAAAAAACAAAAGCTCATTAACAAGTAATGCAAAATAATTAAGCTTCAACATCACAATATCCTCGAAACATAGATTTTAAAATCCAACGTAAACTTCCATCCAGAATCAATGCATTTTAAGACCTTAACCTTTGTGCCTACACTTCTAAGACATGGTAGGCTATCAACAATAATTTAGCCTAATAGCCCCAGCCCAAGATGCAGCTGTAGCATTATTATCAACTGTTTGAGGTTAAATACACCAATATGATATTACTTATCCGACTCATCTTTCGGAAAAGCAGTTTCAAAACGGAATAACTCATATCTTTCCTTGTGCCCACAAACCCCCATCGATTTTTAAATCCAGTTCTAGTATAAAAATCAACTTGTGGCCACATTACACCCTCTAGGTACAGCATTGGTTCTTGTTCAGATTACCAAAATGCATCTAAGGTCATGAAAAAAATAAATAAAACATGCTCCTTCCATTGCCTGAACTACCTAGAGTGCTGTTCTTCATGAGACATACTGATTAATAGTTAATGAGAACCAAAATAATGGCTAAGATCGAATCCATCATCGACAATAAATATGCTGGAACACTCTATCCAATGTTTATTACATGAAACAACAATGCAAATCCAACCAATCTTTCTCAGAAAAGAAAACAGCGAGCTAATGATGTTCAGAATCATACCCCATGGGAACTCCTTATTGCGGATGTGTAAATATGGGTACGGCTGCAAACATAGGCAACAGATAACACGGATCACTATTAGATGAAAAAAAGGTAAAGGAATATAGCATACCACGGAATGTGAAATGCAAAAACTAATATCACAAAAAAAAAAAATTTAACATAAAATACAAGGAAAGGTAGGCAGCTCCACATCGAGCAGCAAAATACAGAACGAAAATAAATCCCAAGGCTTAAGAAGAAAGCTCACAGGAGGCTCATCGTAGTGAGGATGAGGCTTTGACAGGACAACAAACGCGAAAATTGTGCATGAAGCAATGCCTAAGTAAGTAATCTTCTCCCACTTGGCCGTTTCATCTGAAAAGGAGAAATAGAAAATAGGTGAACACAAAATTCAAAAACATTAAAACAATAGGCGGCGTCAGTAATATTACAAACTTTGAATTTCATGTTACAAGCCAAGATAAATCTCAAGGTTTGAAATTCCATCAAATTCAAACAACCCGTAGATGAGATCCCAAAATTTATTTCATCTCATTATCACGCATTTCCAAATCAATCAACTTTATTGAACAAAACATAAGATCAAAAAACCCAAACCTAAGGAACAATAGCGAAAGCCCTAATATGCAACCATAGCTCCAATGTCAATTAAGCTACCAGATCAAAAATTGAAAATAAAATACAAATAAATAAAAAGAGGTCTTTGAAGATCAAAAACTAAATAAGCGCATAATTGCGAATGTATATGTCTGCGCGCCTGAGAGAGAGAGAGAGAGAGAGAGAGAGAGAGAGAGAGATTACGAGCATCGTCGTGAACAGCGGAGGAGGAGAAGGAACGCTTTGGAGTAGCAGAGGATCGAGAGCCACTGCGCAGGGCGGTTCGAAGGGCAGCAGATCGGACCATCGACATCGCCATTTCTTAGCAAAACTCTATTTCGATTGACAAGTGAAAATGTGAAACCCTTCTGCCCTTTGTATCAGAAATGTATAGAGGAAATTAGAAACTACAACAAGAAGCCCATTAACAAAGCCCATTTTTCAAAGCCACACTCACACACCCATTTCTAATTTTATAATTTATAATAAATATTGCTTTTTTTATAATCAAAAGAATTTATATTAAATATTTTTATCGTCGGTTTTATGGAGAAGAAAATGAATCTCCATATTTTTATAATATTACTGTCACATTTATAATTAATTCTTATAAATACTATTAGTCCAGCATGCATATATTGGACTGTGCTTGCACAATCTTGTCTATAGGTGCGCTGAAAAATAGTTCAATTCAGTCCAACAGGGTTACAGGGTTACAAACGTACCCAAAAGGAGGCTGTGTTGTCACTTTCTTTATTTTATTCTTTAATTATGTTTGTAAGGATGACACTGTATATATAGTTATTCCCTCATCTGGATGTTCGCATGTTATTATCGTACGGATACTATTGTAAACAAGAAGAAAAGTAGGAAAGAATAGAAAAAATACATGGCATCCGCACGATAATAAAATCCAGATATCCGCATAGGAGAATTTATGTGCGTATATATTAATGCGGTGCTAATTTTCGATTTGGGTGAAACTGAGGACCTCAAAAATTAAACAATTCGATTAACTTGTAGACTAAGTCCAAGCGAAAAGTTAGCGATACATTAAATTACTTGGTTAACAGATGATCAGACAACAACTCTCTTAAGCCTGCGCTAGAAGCCTTTCCTTGTCTCTACGCACATTCTCTTGTACGTCTTCTAGAGCCTTCTTCATCTCGTATAGAACCTCCATGCTAAGGCTCTCCCTTGGTGCATAAAACCAGTCAGGCTTCGGTTTCTCCATTATTGCCCTCCTCATCTTCTTCCCTAGTTTCTTCACAAGCCCCACATCTTCAATAAGATCAGAGTGGGTTTTGTTAAGATCATGCAGAATTGGATCTTGTCCTGCAGCGTCATTAGAGCTGGTGCTGGCATCTGGGTTCTCAGAAAAACGAAGCCTGTTAAACACAGAGTGGACATTAGGGTGGCCAAATGAAAATGCCTTCCCTCCAATGGAGAAGATGATAATGGCAACTTCAACGGCACACATGGTGCAGAGTTCACTGGCCTTCTTGAAGAGGCCAGATCGGCGCTTGGAGAACGTAACATGCCGAGCACTTTCAGTCTCGATCAACTCCATTCGAGTCTTTTTGCGGCCCATGTTCGGCATCCTCACTCTAGCTAGCAGAAACTATGAAAAAAGCAGCCAAAACCTAGTTTTACTTGGATGGGAATGAGAAGCTTTTAGGACGAACATGGTTATTTATAGGGCATGCAGGCGTAACCAACTTATAAATATATTAAATTCTATATTTTTTTGATTGGTTATGTGTATATCTTTCCATATATACCTTGGTAGTATGAAACCTATGAGAAAAATTTATCATCTTTGACTACATTGAAATTGCCAAATATCGTAATTCTTCGTTATTAGCATACCAAAATATTCATCTCACTCGTAAATTACACATAATTGGGATTTAAATTTCAGAACAAACTACCAAAATTATCTACAAAGAGAAAAGGATGAAGAAATTGGGAAATTCGAAATGAAATTTCAAAATAGCTCTGACCCACATTCAGAGTGGCCCAACTAGTTGTAACAAAAGCATGCATGCACCACACACAGAAAAATAAATTTAAAAGGCACAACAAGTTAGATGATCAATCTGACCTCCATTTATAAATTAGAATGAGCAATTACGCATATCATATTTGCATATCACTTTATGTATTTCTTTTTTAATACAGTTGGAGCTCACTAACATAATGGGATCCACCTCTATTAGAGGGATGCATACAATATGATATAACTAGCGTTTTTAAAATTAGATAGCCATGTATGCAACATTTTCAACGTGAAAAGAAAATAATAGAAAACTTTAGCAACAAGAAATTTTTGGTTGTGCCAAATTAGTTTTTTATTCTTAGTCAACCGGAATATAACATCAGGAGTCTAAATTCTAAAAACTGAAGGGCATAGAAATACTGAATACAAAAAGAAATAAGTTAAAAAAAGCATATGAGAAAATAGATTATTGGATGAATTTTATTATTCCTTTTCACCCCGGTTGTACAAAAGGATTGGGAGATTGATTAAATCATATAAATCAACACAATGATGGAACATTCCCACAAAAACCACTTCTCTAAGTAGAGATTAAGAAGTGATATTAATGGCCATTTCCATGGACATTCGGATCAACGGAAGCATGCCCAGCTGCGTCAGCTCCAGGGAAGTAGTCCGAGAGAATTCGGCAGGATTCTCAGCTGAGGAGATGAAGAAGTCTTGACTGGAAGCTCCTTCTTTCTCTTGAGTAATCTGTTCTGAACTTCCCCAAGAGCTCCTTTACCTATACAACTCTTTCAAACTAAGCGTATATCAATTGGTCACTTGATCAATTATTAGGCCCTCGGTTCTCCATCTTTATCTACTTGAATCTGTCCTCTCATTTCTTCTCGACCTCCCAAGTGCTTAAGCAGATCACAGCTATAAGAAAGTTCTTCACATATTATCTTGTTCACACAAACCATCCTCCATTGTTCTGCACGGGCAAATACAGATAAAACCTATTAAGTAGAGGGGACGTCAGAAATAAATATTTAGATAGTATTCAGAGAGGTTAATATGGTTGCGGATCAGTTGGGAAAAAAAGGACACAACTATAACAACTCGTCTGTTTGGTTTAGTCATTTCCCTTTGGATGTCCTTGCTAGAGTTTATTTTGATTTGTATGGTCTTAGGATCCCTACGGGATCTAACTTCTAATGTATTTCAGTTCTCAACCAAAAAAAACAAAAACAAAATATATATAGATACTATTAGTAGACAATCTCAACAGTGCTCAATATAAAGTACTGTGTATTTGTTATGATAGACAGGAAGGACGAACCTGGGTCGAAAGGAGACGAGGGGAGATACACAAGCAGATCAGAATGAAGATCCAAGGGATTAGGAGATTGGACACATAGCTTGAAGGAGCTGTACAAACTACAAGGGGCCCTTGGGAAAGTTGAGAACAAATTACTCAAGCCAAAGGAGGAGCTTCCAGCCAAAGTATTCTTCATCCTCAGCTGAAAACTCAGCCCAATTGTCTCTCCTCCCTGGAACTGACCCAACTGGGGTACTTCTTCTATTGATCCCTAATGGTCATTGGACAAATCAAGTGAGCTGATGACTTTACAACTTCCAAAATGTTCTCTTTTGATATATACAATTGAATGTAATATACAGTACAACATTAACAAATAAACAAGAATATACATATGTTGTATAAATTGAAGAAATAATAAAGAGAAACATAAGAGATTTATACCAGAACTCAGAACTGAATGGTTGGGACAGTGGCTCTGGAATCTGTAATGCACTCCATGTAGGGAGTTACCATCTCGTGCACTGGGCACGAAATGAAGAGATGCAATAGATGGTGGAGTGGTCACCTGGTTTTATAGCAGTAGGGAGACCAAAAATGGAAACATGTTTGCCAAAAATGCAAAATGTGAAAACTAGGGCTCTCACTCCTGAGGCCCAAGAGGATAAACGATAAGAAATAGTATTTTTTTTGTTTCATTTTACAATTATTAAAGAAAAGTGGTATTTCGAGGGGAGAGGGTAAAGATTTACATGTCTTATGTTTGATTTCTCCCTTCAACGATATCGTTTGTATGTCTTTTTTTCTTTAATAAAGAGAAGCATTAACAACTAGAACTTAATAACGAACAATGCATGTGAGATATAGATTGATAAAGGCGCCGTCAAGTAGAAAAAAGGAAAATTCAAAGAAATGTCGAATCTCCTAACTCGATCGAAATAAATTCCATTAAATTAGCTTACCGATAGACAAATCACAACTTAGCATGCTATCACAAATTAGTTTAGGTATGATATATAGCATCTCCAACCTGTAATAATGTCAACCAAATGGTTGCTGCGTATCCCTAATGCAAGAAAAGATTTTTCAATGGTGGATGAACCAAAGTCTAAAGTCTTTTTAATGACACAAGGACTAAATAGCTTGACGTAGTATTCAGTTTGAATTTGCTTGTAGCCAGGTTGAACAAACTACGGAGCCTTTCTTTGAAAGTCAAACATTTTGCCGTACTACAACAAATGTGAGGCTAAAAAGAAGCAAAAATATAATTTTTAATATAATTTTTTTTTGGATTCCATATTACAAATTCTTGGTATGGTCTCGGATTTCAAAAACTCTGTAATTGGAAATAATTTAATTTTATAACAAGGCTAATCATTTACAAATGGATTTTTCCATAATTAAGGTTGTGCATGCATCCAAAAATAATCAGATCTAACGACCTAGATTTATTTGGAAATATTCAAATTAAATATATGGTATAGATGTATTTGGATTTTTTTTTGCATAAATAGCAGTGTAAAATTTCCTTATCTCTCAACTTACCTTTTAAACATTTACCCCAGAAACTTACCTTCCAAGTCTAAATTCTATATTGGGCACACCAACCCCTTTACCAACTTCTGTTGTTATTAACCGAAGAGGAAAATGACATGGCAGTCCATATCGTGTGCCACATCATCAGGTAGATCAATTTTCACTCTCCATGTCATCCATTGAACTCAACCCTACACCACCTGAACACCTTCCACCACCACATGTCCCTGTTGTCTCCTTGTATTCTACAAAAAAATGGAGAAAATAACATATAGGAGACTAACAGCTACCTCTTTGAGATTAGAGATTAGCCAAGAAGTCTGTCTATTCCCAAATGGTGTTGAGTGCCATGGCTATGAACCAAGCAGACTACGAAGATGTCCCTCTTGTTGGGTTCAAAGGCCGCCATCATCTTTGATCGCGCGCAGGTTATAGTTGATGGTCTTCCAATTTCACCAAAGCTGATGTTTATTAGTTTACGTATACTTGGTTTGTGTTTCTGTTAAGGGTGGGTACAGTCCGATTCTCACTCCAAACAGGAATCGGCACTATTCACCCAGTTTGATTTTGACGAAAAATATATATGGTTCGGTGCAGTCCGGTTTGCTCATAAGCCAGTTCAGTTTTTATTTTTTGGACGAAATTTTGACTTTGATTTTGATTTTTTTGGGTACAAAACCCAACTTAAATTTTATTTTTTGGCTTAAAAATTCACAAATTACCCAATTTTATGTAAAGGGAGATGATTGAGCCTAAAAAAGAGAGGTGATTTGGAGTTGGGCTTAGAGAAAGATTAGTTGTGGACTTAGAAATTTAGCATTGGGGTTAAATATTTTATTAAAAACTTAAAAAAATACATAATCAGTCCGGTTCTACATAGTATGGTTTTTTCTATAAGAATCGTACCCGAAATCGAACCAAATTGGTCAACCCTATTTTTCCCCCTTTTTTATGTCCAATTTCGCTCAGTTATCCTATTTGAATGCCCACCTCTAGTTTATGTACTATTTCTCTTCCTTGATTTGCAGTCCAAAATATGGCTGGAAGAATACGTTTGGTTGAATGGAATGCAACTTCTTTTGAAAAATTATCATCAAATTTACTCTTTAATTAAAAATAAACAAAATAAGATAATAGGACACCGTGTTAGATTTAACCGATGAACGGTGGTGGAGATGACTCTTGAATATATAAACATATAAATTTTAACTAAATAAAACAAATATGATTGGGTGTATGACATGGATTGCTGTCATTTGGAACATCAGTTGATTTACTTAGTAAAAGAGTTGTTGCATTGCATGCCGCGCTACTGACATTAACAAATGTATAACGTATATAAAATGTTATATGAATATTTTGAATCTTTAAAAACAAGTATGTGTCACATCAAGATTTGAATTTTAACTACGACTTAAAGCATAGTAAGTGCATGAATCATTGAATAATTCAATTTTAATCCTAACTCAATAGGATAAATGTAATGAAAATGATAATTTATACTTGATGTATGGACTAATTAATTGTAATTTGAATCCGATAATTCAAATATAAATCGGACTCGAATATGATATAGACTATAGGTGAATATAATATGATGATGGATCTACTAGCGAGTTATCGCGTAAGCACTCGTCCTCAAGACCAAGACAGCCAACAATATCTTCCCTTGTCCAACCCCCACGCAACAACACCACAGACAGAAACTTCACGCGCCACCTCACACTTGTCTCATTCTCGCTGTCCCCCATCACGTGGGGCCCGCTCTTCTCAATCTTCCCATCACAGCCGTCCATCATCATCATCTCCCTAACCTCCTCCTCCTCCCAACCGCCCTTCCTCAACCTCCAAAACACCTCCTCCAAACACCCACCCAAGCACTCATCCCCACTCCACCACCCACGCGTCTCCCCACGCGCCACCACCTCGCTCCAAAAATCAATCCACCGAGTCGTCTTGGGGGCCCACAAGGGCACGTGTGCGAACCCAAACTCTTGACAAAAAAACCGGGTGACGTCACAACTCAGAACAGTAACGTTCTCCGCGTCAACGTACAAAACCGGATTTCCCGCCACGCCCGGCCTCGACGGAACATAGCAGTTCCGGTGCACCGGCACGAGAACCGGCGCTTTCTCCAGAAGCTGCTTGGCCACGTCAGCATGATCGTGATCGCCTGGAGGGGGCTTGGGGCCCCACGACTGGCACCAGAAGCTTCCGCCAGAGACTCGGCGGAGGAGGCTGTAGGACGGGAGGCTGAGGAGGATGCGGAGCTGCTGGAGGGAGGAGGAACGCCAGTTGGGGAAGGTGGGGCCCACGGGGAGGCCTTCCTGGAGAATGGCGCGGAGGTCGGGCGGGAAGGCGAAGTCGAAGGTGGCTTCGATGGAGGCGAGCTCTGGGTCGGTGAGGCCTTGCTCGACTGGGATGTTGAGAGGTGAAGATTTGAGGTGGTTTATGAGGGACTTGGCGTAGGCAGCGAAGGAGAAGCAGACGAGGGGCTTTTTGGTAGTTGTGGTCACTGTGGAGTTGGGTTTTGGGGGCTTGCTGTGGGTGTGGTTGTTGGTTGTTGCTGGTGCCATTAAATTGAGATAATATTTTGATGCGGTGATGAAGCTCTGAGATGGGTTTTTTTATTATTATTATTTTGATTTTAGTTTAATTTGACCTGGTTTGGTGGTCCAGGTTGGGAAGAAGAAGAAGGAGGTGGGAAAGATGCATTTCGTGATGACCAACTGTTTGACGAAAGAGGCAGAGGAGGAGGAAGCGAATAAAATCCGTGTGAGAAAAGGCGAAGAACATAACAAGTGAAAATGAGAGAGTTTTTGTCATCAGGAAAAAAAAAGAGAGAGTTTTGACAGTTCTTGGCAGAATATATATCAGAATCTGGACTCACGTGTTAGTTTCGTCGACATTCTTTATGTAATGCAAAATCATTTCTTCTGTGTGTGCATACAGAATAACTTGAGCGACTGTCACTAGCACAGCTCGTTCGAATTATAATTTTCATGACTACAAAATTTAATCTAATCAACGTAAATCTAATTAATCCAATTCAAATAGCTTTGTTATTTACTTTTGTAGAGTGAATTGCATCTCCAATTTGTTACTTTTCCTGCTTCTTTGGTTCCCTAGATAAAACTATAAAGTTAGTAAGCAATCTAAGGGTAGATTTTGATGGAAGGATTTGGATGTTGACAACAAGGCTATATTAGTTAAGGAAATAAATCATCAAGCACTGAATACAATGTATTTAAATTGAATTTGAGATAACCACATGCAATGTAACATTTTGAATCAGTTAAAATGAGTAAATACAATGGACCATTTGAAATCCACTTGTTTTACTTTTAAATGTAACAAAAGTTGAATACGAGTTGGTCCTCCCGCTAGATTGGTTGTTCCTCACCCTAGAACGAGATGTGAATGTTTTCTCTGACGATGAACTAATACTACTTCCTCGTCGTTTTGCAATAAGATCTTACTAGTGTAGTGATAAAGAGCTTTGTTTCCACTCAACTGGTCCTAAGTTCGAGGGCTAGCATTCTAGCTATTGGCAACAACAAAAAATCTTGAAATCAATTATTTTATGAAGAAAAAAAATCACATCCTTTTCACGAAAGCAAAATACATAAGGTCTTTGGTATAACGTGACAAATTCTCCTTTTGACTTGAGTGTTGAACTCATTTTCAAACTGCGGCCAGATTTTATGCTAAATATAGCGCCACGGATAGTTGGTCTAATGTTTTATATTCGTTATGAATACCTTCTAGAATGCTGGACCTTAACACGTAGTTACGACGTATTTGCATTTGTTGTATCATACGGCAATATCAACTTTCTCTTATTCTATGTATAATGTATACACATCAAAAGAAGACTTCTGTATCAATATATGCAAAACAAAGGCTTATCAGCCATGACGTGCACTGTGCACAATCCACAGTTTCTTTAAAACCCAGCGTCAGGCCGAGTAATGTTTGTCTCTCCCTGCTTTAACCAAGCAAATCTTGTCAGGGACAATAATGCATGTTCTAATTCATTCTTTATCACATATAATTCATGTATGATGTATATATTGCATTTCTGTAATAAAGAATAGCCTGTAATAGAGAATTGATGAAGAAAGACAACAGGGAGTTTCATAACAGAACTGAATGCCTGAATTAGATAGAGCTCAACATATACTTTGAGAGACTTCAATCTCTAGTTTTATAGATTTTCCATGATTAAATCATCCTGCTCCCCAAGCTACAAAATTTGAGCTCACATTTCTCTGCTTAGAAAGCAAGCCCTGTTGAGCAGAATTTTTCATCATCGTCCACTACATCAAAAGTCAATCATAACAAAGTCTTAATGCAGACTAGTGAAAGTAAATTCTATGACCAGTTGGGGCTAGTTCCTTCTCTACTACCATCCATGTTGTGGGCACTCTCATCTTTTGTTCGAGCAATTTCTTCTCCTCCTGAGCTGGAATCATCTCCCATATTTTCATCATTGTCGTCCTTTCCTGATCCTAATACAGCATCTTCCAGCTTTTCAGAAGCATCCTCTTCACTTACGAAGCTCCATCCAGGAATGATCTTTCCTCCTCTTCTGATAACACTACCACTGTTGTAGAAACCCTGGGAGCCTATATTTACCTTGTTTCTATCAGGTTCGGAGGAAATGCTAGAAGGCCACACAATACTTGCAGTACCAATGGCACCCATATGAAGGGCCAAATTGGTTTTGGTGCTTGTCCCATTAGTTTGCTGAGAAGTGATGGAGTTGTTAGTTCTTAAGTAGTTACCCTTGTCATCATTACCTTTCATTTCTGAAGAGGCAGTATGCCCAATTCCATACATTTGGACATTGGGAAGGTCCTGCTGAAATTGGTAGTGGAATTCAGGCATCATTGAATTGCTTCCGTTAACCTCCAAGCTGCCACCAGAATGTGCGACAACGTTTGAGATATTGTTTCCCTGCTCTGCAGCAGCTGTGGAGTGATATGCTTTCTCTTTATCTTCTACCTTGTTGAGGATAACCTTCTCAAAAACATGTGATTTCATCTCAAACTGATGAATCTTGCATGCTGCAGGTTTTCTACCTCGAGTTCGGCGATGAGACTCACCAGGAGAAGGTAATGCGTCAACTGAAGCAACTGACCTCTTTGGTCTTCCTCTTTTTGATGGTTGTCCAGATAAAACAGCCACACTAACTTGAGCAGTGGGCTCTTCCGCCGCCGGTTTCAGAGAAGGAACTTCTGCTGCCAGTTTCAGAGAAGACACTTCTGCTTCAAGCCTCAACAAGCTATTTTTGTAATCCATTATTTCTGATTGCAAGTGATTAATTACATTCCATAGCTGGACATTTTCTGCAGACTATAACCTCAAAACCAGAAAAAACTCGGTTTATAATCATATTGACTAAATCACAAACTTATATTAAACAGGTTTAAGGAAAAAAGAAAAAGATTTGTACTTGAGCATCCCAAAGTTGCTGGTGCTTCTGAGAAAGTTTAGTTGGTGGCCTGATAATTCCTTTTTGAAAGGATTGTCCAAGGGGTGTGGTGCAACTAGGCGGTAATGCAGGTGCTGAAGTAAAGTAGCCTCCTGGAAAAGCATATGTGCATAGAGGTTGTTGTGCCTGACCCTGACCCTGACCCTGACCCTGACCCCACCAAGATGGATCACAAGGACCTGTGAACAGGAAAGCTCAACCGTTGTATGACTCAAATTTTAAGTTGTGGTTTGATATCTTTAAATATCAAACTGGAAAGTGTGTAAGCAAACTGGAATTATGCATTAAAAAAATTTTGTCATGTGTATTGCATACTTACTAAAGCTGTCACCACCTTCAACTAGTAGTCAAGAATGGCTTGATTATTTATCCAATACCACATTGAAGATTATTATGTTCCAGATCAATCAGTTAAGCAAGATAATAAGATCACAACGTCCAAAAGAAGTATGTTACAATGCATAACACAGAATAACAAAAGTTTTGCGTATACCTGGAAAGCCCGGATATGGGTACCCAACAGGGTAACAGAAATTAGGAACTTGAGCTTGATTTGTTGTTGAAGTTCCACCTCCAACAGCTGCAGGAGTTTGCCAACTAGTATCAGTAGCTCCGAAAGCAATGAATGACGGAAAAGTTGCCGGTGCATTCAATCCAGGCAACGTGTAACCAGCTCGCTGGGGTAGCCATAAGGGAGCAGCTGATTGGGAATAATTGGTTGGTGGCAGGCCTTGTGGGACCTGATGGTTAGAGGCATTCTGTTGTAGATGTGGAAATTGTGGCCATTGGTTAATAACTCCAGGCAACGGTGCTTGAGTTGCAATAAAGGGTCTAGGCATGAAAGGGGATTGTTCCACTCCATGCTGAGGCGTGTACGGCCATTGAAGAGTTGATGGGTATTGGTGATTTAGGGACGGTGCATTGCCGTTTGAAGGACTATCAGTTTTTGTACTCTCTGTAAAAAGTGTCACATTGGGCTGGCTTTGGTCCTCCTTGCTCTGTTCATAAACAGATTCACCATGTTAAGTTGTAGAAAATGAATTTCTATTTCTGATAGTGTAATTCTTGTTCTTCTAAGTTTATAGCCTTGGTATCTCAAAGCATAACATCATAGAGCACATTTGATCATCCAAAAAGTTAAGGAAATAGCTCAAATCTCTCAAGAACTCTTAGACAATGGAAGCTACTAAACAATGTCAATTACAAATTAACAAAAAACAAAAACAGAAGAAAAAGAAAGCTGCTCCACATAAATAATTCTATATGGGTTACTGTCATTTGCAGTAGATAACCTAAACCCTAAACCCAGACAGAAGACAACAATTTTCGGTGTTATTCTTACTTAGGGAAAATGAACTCTACAAAGTTAGAGAAAACCCCAAAAGTGAAAAGAAAGAGTTGGCAGTATAAAGAGTTTGGATTGAACCCAAAATAGAAAGGGTTTTGACAAAAGCTAGGACTGAAAAATGAGAATGATGAAGAGGGTTTCATACCAAAATGTCATTTGCCTCTGGTTGTTGACCGGTGGCGCAAGCAACTTTGTGGTCCTTCTTCTCCATGGCCTTCAAAGAAACAGTCTTTGTTTATTTGTTTTTACATTTAAAGGACACTCTGTGTCTATGAGATTCTCAGAAGTCAGAAACTTCCCTACAGCAGCTAAAATATATGCAAGAAAGGCAAATAAAAAGTGCCCGAATGCCTTCAACCCCTAGAGAGAGAATATTGTTTGGAGGAATTTTTCACAGCCTTTTTCTGCTTCCTGTTCTGGTTCCAGTCTCCAGACTTGTCCTATTGTATATTGGACCAATTTTTATTTTTATTTTTTTGCCCCAAATTAATACAATAATTATGCTCTGCACAAAAAATTAATTAAAAAAGATAAAAACCATTTGAGCAGCATTGGAAACCAGCAGGAGAACAGAGAGCCGCAGTTTTAAGACTTCCCTGTACTGTCATTGGCAATTAAATTCAGAAATTATGGAATGAGAAAGTGGCAAGTTACAGAAAATGTCGTCGTTTCAAGAAGGAATAACAGAGCTCGTCATTTTCAATGAGTATTTGATTTACGATATTCAATTTCCCAAGAGTACCCATAGAGAAAAAAAAATCAAACACTGAAAGAATTGTGAGTCCAAATTATAGGAAAGTAAAATTTTAGTGCATGGAAGACCACCCCTCTAAAATCCTGCTCTGGTCAAATACCACCTGTTTCCAATGTCTCCTCTGATTATGTACCTGCACGTGTGCACTCAAAAGAAAACAACAATAAACAAATGTATAGGTAAATTGATTAAGGTTTTGGAATTCTTCTGGCTTCAATCAAATCTCTTTGTTAAACAACATTCATATCATTGAGAAGTCTTTAGTTCAGGAACAAAGAAAACCAGATCAAAGTTACTACATGCTTTTGAAAGCAAAATGATACCGCTAATATCATTTAAATTGTCTCAGTAGTCGTCTCCCTCATCACCGTCTTCGCCCTCGTCAGCCTCGGCACCGACCTCCTCATAGTCCTTCTCCAGCGCAGCAAGATCCTCACGGGCTTCAGAAAACTCACCTTCCTCCATGCCCTCGCCCACGTACCAGTGAACAAATGCCCTCTTGGCATACATGAGATCGAACTTGTGGTCAATGCGCGAGAACACTTCAGCCACGCTGGTGGAGTTTGAGATCATGCACACTGCCCTCTGAACCTTGGCAAGATCGCCACCTGGAACAACAGTTGGGGGCTGGTAGTTAATACCGCATTTGAATCCAGTTGGGCACCAGTCGACGAATTGGATAGTGCGCTTGGTCTTGATGGTGGCCACAGCTGCATTGACATCCTTGGGCACCACATCCCCTCTGTACATCAGACAGCAGGCCATGTATTTCCCATGGCGTGGGTCGCACTTAGCCATCATCGATGAAGGCTCGAATGCGCTGTTGGTGATCTCTGCAACTGAAAGCTGCTCGTGATAGGCCTTCTCAGCTGAGATAACAGGAGCATAGGATGAAAGCATGAAATGGATCCTGGGGTATGGCACAAGATTAGTCTGGAACTCTGTTACATCCACATTCAAGGCACCATCGAACCTCAGGGATGCAGTCAGGGATGATATCACCTAGAACACAAAGCAGAAGAAAATTAGTGTACATGATCCTTCAATGAGAGAAACAAAAAGTGGTGAGTTACAAAAAGTAAAATATGAACAATACCTGAGAAACCAAGCGGTTAAGGTTGGTATAGGTAGGACGCTCAATGTCAAGGGAGCGCCTGCATATGTCATAAATAGCCTCGTTATCCAGCAGCACAGCAACATCAGTGTGTTCCAAGAGGGAGTGGGTCGACAGGACACTGTTGTAGGGCTCAACAACAGAGGTTGAAACCTGTGGAGAGGGGTAGACAGTGAACCCCAGCTTGGACTTCTTGCCATAGTCCACTGACAGACGTTCCAGTAGAAGGGAGCCAAGACCTGAACCAGTGCCTCCGCCCACAGCATTGAAAACCAGGAACCCTTGGAGGCCAGTGCAGTTGTCAGCAAGCTTTCGGATGCGGTCCAGGCACAGATCAACAATCTCTTTCCCAACTGATAAAAACAAAGAAATGTAAGCTGCTTGCCAAAGAAAATTACAGATCACAAATCACAACAAAAGGGGTTAAATAGTTACTGGTATAGTGGCCACGAGCAAAGTTATTGGCTGCATCTTCCTTGCCGCTGATGAGCTGTTCAGGGTGGAAGAGTTGGCGGTATGTCCCAGTCCTGACTTCATCAATGACAGTGGGCTCCAAATCTACAAAAACAGCACGAGGAACATGCTTCCCAGCACCAGTCTCACTGAAGAAGGTGTTGAAAGCATCATCACCTCCCCCAATGGTCTTATCACTTGGCATCTGGCCATCAGGCTGTGGAAGACATTAAATTTAGAACATCATATCAGGATTACAAACCAAATGACATCCATCAAAACTGGATCACCAGACCATGTTCTTAATAGTGATTATAAAATGCACAACAATTCTAATACTTAGAGCTAAAACTACATACACAGTAAAAGATTATAGCTGATTCAAAACTACTAACCTTGAACAATTTTACCAGATGTAAACAAGCATTTCAGAATCCAAAGAGTCCACACAAATTCTCATGTCTCATAGAGCTTTATAAAAATAAAAATAAATGCAAATCCACTTCTAAAATAAAATAACAAACATAATTTAAACAAAAAGAAAAGCACCAACAGCATGTTCTAATTCAATATAAATTACTAGATCTGATACATTGCCTATACAATCAACATATTTAAACAGAACCTAACAGATCTAGTCAAAATAAAAGGGAACAAGCAATGCTTATGATTGTCTATCATATAAACCAAGAGAAATTGCAGATCCGGTCCACAAATTACAAATAATCGAACAGGATCAAGTAAAATTAGCCGTTCATTTCGTAAATCCACACCACAGAGCCATAGAGAAGCCTAGAAACCCTGGATCCAGCTTAAATTGAAGAAAAATGAAGCAAATCTAGCCAGAATGGGGCAAATTGAAGAAAGATAAGGTCCAAGATCTAGCAGAATCCCAAATAAATCGTACCAAGAAATGAGAGAAAAAGAAGAGATACGTACATGGATTCCGTGCTCGAGACAGTAAAGCTCCCAGCAAGCATTGCCGACCTGAATACCAGCCTGACCGATGTGAATGGAGATGCACTCTCTCATTTTCGCTAAGAGAAAGAAAACCCTAGAAAGCTAAGAAGAGGAGGTGAAAATGGAAGTAACAGAGAGACTGAGAAAAAGAGAACGGGCGTTTATTAAGACGCCAAAGGTGGAAGACAAGGCAATGTGGGTCTGGTTTTCCGCTGTGTTGGGGTTTTTATAATTGGGGACGAGGGGAATTGGAGCGGGAAGGGGATTTTAACCGCGGTTAGTTTACACGGGGAGGTGAACGCTTTTTTACCTGCTGGTATTTTATTTTATTTTATTTTTGACGAAATTTACCTGCTGGTATTGGCTGTTGTTGCAGTTGCACAGCCTTTTTTTTCTTTTAACTGCTCCAGAATTAACCGCGTCGCTTGTTTCACGGGAACGGTTCGCTTTTTTATAATTTCAAATTTTGAATGAGTTTGTGAGGTGAAGACGATGGCGTTTTACCTCTGCATAATGCACGTGCTTCCATGTGCTTCGAAAATAAAAGGGAAAAAGCGAAAAGTAAAGCATTAGCCGGACACTGTAATGTGTTAGTTTTTGGGGAGCCTACTGTGCAACAAAAAGAGAGGAGATTATCTATCTATATATATAAAGCAAAATGCGGAGAATAGTGAAATATTTAAAATATCAGAAAATGTCTTTAGTTAATTCAAATTTTAAGAATTGAAATTATTAATTAAATGAGAATAATATAGTAAATTTATATTTTTTTCATATTAAAAAAATAAAATTAAAAGCAAAATCAAATAATATGTCTTACTTTTATAGAATATAACTACTCATGTTATCTTTTCTTAATTCTAAAAATAAAATAAAAAATAAAACCAATTGGCACATGGGTGAGCATGTGCCAAGGGGCTAGTACATACAAAAGTAGGTTTTATATCCCCGACATTAGCCAGACCGAGGGGTGTACAAAATTCAATCAAATTCGTCCAAATTGCCTAATCCAATTCAATTTAATTCAATTTCAATCGATTTGATGATTTGATGGATTGGATTGGATCCGTAATTTTGAAAATCGACATGATTGAACCAGATGATAGATTTGCTCATGAGAATCCAATCCAATCCAATTAGTTTTATGTTTATTTTGCTCTTATAGGTATTTGTAGTTGAAAAGTTATGAATATTTTAAGTCATTTAATGGAGTTTTGTTTAATGTATTATATAATCAGAACAATTTTCTCTAGTATTTCATTTATATTTTACATTTATGTCTATTAATATGTCTGGTTAGATTAAACCTAAAAATAAATGTTTAATATTTCATTAGTCTTTTTCCATTAACAAAACCAATCATTCAATCCAATATCAATTGGATCATATTGGATTGGATTGGATTTAAACATCTAATATGATTGGATTACATTGAAAAAATCACAATCCAATCTATATTGGATCATATGCGAATTGACTAAATTGTATTGGTTTCAAACCGATGTACACCCCTAGCCAAACCTAATGTGTTAGTTTCAATGGTTATCACTACTAGAAATTTGCACAATAGGGACCCTTTTTTAGAGACTGATAGACAAACAATCCGTAAAAACAGCTATTTGGCATGGAACTTTATTAAACCGTCCCTATAAACATCAAGGGACACAAAACTGTTCCTTTTGGTTTTTTGTTTTTTTGGTCAGGAATTCAAGTTGTATTTAAAAAAAACCCCAAAACAGGGAATAAAGATACAAACATAAAGCAAAGGCCACGAAGAGCCAATATAAAGCAAGAACAGTTAACAATACAGGGCCAGACATGGCTAGATTCCATCGGAGCCTAGAGCAACAATCCTTACCTAACAAACTAGCTACTAAGAGGAATTAAAACTAACAGCAGATGCAGCCTGAGGTGGACAAGGCAAACCATCAAAAGTTAGAACCCCAACGAGAGACAATGGTGGTCTATCGACCCAACTTTTCAATTCCATAGCTCTATTACCTATCGACACTGCTGCATGAGTTGCACGATTTGCACTCCTAGGCACCCAAGACCAGGTCACCTCTTCGAAGCTTGAAACCACAACGTGAATTTCGTCAATAAGAGGAAGGATGGCTCAGGAGTTATTACCCTAAATCCAAAAATGCAATCAATTAACACCTTGCAATCTGTCTCCATGATTACTCTCAGACAACCCCTGTTTTTGGCAAGATGTAAAGCACATAGAGCCGATGCTGCTTCTGCACTAAGTGATGAGTCACATAATAGTGGGGAAGCAAGACCTCCACACCATTCACCAGAGGAATTGCGAGACATAATGTCGATGCTGCCCTTCCTCGTGCCAGGAGACCAATAACCATCCAAGTTGAATTTTACATAGTTTAGGATTGGCTTGGACCAATGGGTTTTTTGGACACGAGGGACAGGAGAAAGGTTCCCTCTCGCTTCAAACTTAGAGACAAAATATTGAGAGTGAATAAAATATTGAGTAGAAAGTGAATAATAGTTGAAGGAGAAGAAAATGTATGAGGATTTGGTGTTAAAAGTGAAGAGTATTTGTTGGTATTTACAGAAGAAAAAAAAATCATTAATTTTTGGGTATTTTTTAAAAAAAAATTCTAATTTTTTCATAATTTTATTGAAAAAAAATTGGCTACAGTTGGATTAGAGGACAAAAAGTAATTGGAGCGCCCAGATGACGCCACATGACTGCTAGCCGTTGGTGGAAACTCAGGCCCTTGCATTCAAACTTTTTTTACCGTTGGCGCGTGCAAATTTGAACTCCAGGGCTGACACCAATCTGGCGTCAGCAATGACGTCACCAAAAACTCGGGCTAGCCTTAGATTCGGGCCAGCCCTGTCCCGAGGGACCCACAGCTTGCCCGGCTAGACAAGCCCACTGAAAACGATTTTTGGGCTCCCCCTCCCCCCAAAGCCCTAACCGCTGGAACCGCTCTAAGAGTTGTTGCAGAGGCCAATTGGCGTAAACTGATTTGTGTTCTCTTGCGCTTGGACTTTAGGAATCAGAGCAATAAAAGTCCTGTTAAGGGCTTTGAAACGGCAACTACCATATTGAAGATCATTGGTGGTACCACAGACAATGAGTTTAACAATATCCCAGAAGAATTTGTAGAACATTCCTGGGAAGCCGTCAGGGCTAGGTGCCTTGTGAGCTCCAAGTTGGTGCGTTGCAATTTTGATTTCCTCTTCAGTGAAATGGGCAAGAAGGGTGGCATTCATCTCTGAAGTGATGATGTTGTCCGCATTACTGAGAATTTCAGACCAATCTCGAGGCCCAGAAGTAGTGAATAGATCCCGAAAGAAGTGGAAAAATTCATTCTTGATTGCATTTTCACCAACAGGCCACTCTCACCCTTTGCATTTTGAATTTTTACCACTCGGTTTCTTTGTCTCTTTTGAATGGCTGAAATATGGAAAAAATTTGTATTGGCATCGCCAGATTTGAGCCAAGATATTCTCGAGCGTTGCTTCCAATATTGCTCTTCCCAGCTCCTTGAGTTTGTCAAGCACAATTTTGATATTTCTTTGCTGCGGGACACAGACATCTTTTATATTCTCATTTTGGAGCTGCTCAAGTTCCAAAGTCAACTCCTTTATTCAAGCGTTGCAATTAGGAAAGTGGACTTTGTTCCATTTTGTTAAACGGGTCTTGCAGTCATGCAGGTTGCGAATCCACTTGGCTTCGTTCTGAGCATGGCCTCCATTAGACCAACAAGCCTTGATAATATTCCCACATTCCTCCTCATGCAACCATCTCGCTTCAAAACGAAATATGTTGCCTTAGCTGCGACGAACAGGATTACTGGCAAGAAGAATAGGACAGTGATCAGATCCTATCTTAGTGCAGTGAGTGACACAGGTGCTTTGCCACGCTTCCAGCCATTCAGGGCTGGCTACAGCTCGATCAAGTCTCTCTCTCAGAATTATTTTCCCACGTGAAACCTTGACCTTTAAACCCCAAATCCGTCAGATTACATGAGTTCATAAATTCAATCAGAAATCTTCTGCGGGAAACATTCCAACCGTTTCCCCCATCTTTTTCATGTTGCCATGAAACTTCATTCAAATCACCCATAACCATCCAGGGAATGTGATCTTTACGCCCCAGGCTTTCAATGTCTCCCAAAACTCCACTTTCTCATTGTTGTATGGAGTACCATAAACCCAAGTGCATCTTCCATAAAAAGAATCAGAAGGTACCTTTACCACTGCATCAATCCAATTCTTTGTTACATCTAAGAATTCAATCTCCATCGATGGTTTCCACCAAATGCAGAGACCACCCGCTCTTCCAATAGGATCAACAGTCAAGCCCTTGTGAAAGCCGCACTGTCTCCTCAGGTTCTTGATACTGTGGCTGCTCTGTTTTGTTTCAATAAGAAAAACCACAGAGGGATTTTTTGAATGAAGGATGTGAAATAGTGTTCTAGGTTTGACAAAACCAAGTACCGATTAATTGAAATTAGGGGAAACCCCTTTAAAATGGACATGGATATTGAGTTTTTAAATTTATATATTGAGTTTAGGTTTCAATATTGGTCCACGATTTGTGCAGATTTTCAGTTTTTGATTTATATTTAGATGCACTTACAGACAAGGATTCTATACTAGTTTTGGACTAGTTGTTGATGTGGTTTAATTTTCAGTTTGGCTATTAGGCTCTAATCATCAATTTTAACAAATTGGTTTCTATCTGTCTGACTAAATGATTACAAGTAACCATAGAGTTTATACTCTGAGTGTGAGATTAACTAAGTGACTACAGCCTAACTAAAACTAAGCATGAGCCTACTAACAACAATACTTACTAAGATCAGGTTGCTGAGAAACTTGTGGCAATATGCCCAGTTAAAGTATTTGATATTGAAGATATTGGCAAAGGTTAAGGACTTTTCTTTAATGGCATTTGTTCTCCAGCTGCTTTAGATACTAGACTGACAACGAAGAATTAGTCTAAAAATGACGCAATGCTGTAGGTTTGTCCCAATATATGGGTTTCAAAAACTATTGTTATATTTGGACTTGCACAATTTGTTTGCCTTGTTTGTCATTTTCTGGAGTGGCTTGATTGATGATTTCACTGGTTAGCAAGGTAAAAAGAGGGCTACTATAGCCAGACCACGAGCTTGCACTCTGTAGGGAATGCAGAGAAGGGAAGGGGTGGGAGAATGCAATATCATTACGGAGTAAGACGGATCATTTCATTTGCAAGTAATTTCCTCTGTAATCAAAAGTTGGAATCATAAATTTCTCGTAGTTTCTCGATATTGTAAGTGTCCCAGAAATGTAGCGCAAGTAATCGCTAATGTATGAAATTTGTGTTTCAATTCTTTTATTTGTAAAAATCACTTGCTCAGGAGTGAAAAACAGTGTCCATGCACAAGACAAATGGCGTCAAATTTTTTTTTTTCCACTACAGAAGTCAGTAGAAAAAAAAAAATTAGGGAATACATTAGGCACGGATGTATTTCATTAATAGAATACTTTAACGACTATTGGATATTACGAAAATGTGGGACTCATTGCAAAAATTAGGCACGGAGATTATAATAAGTGACATAATATCAATAGAGGACCCCTTTAAAAGACACTGATATACATCAATAGGCACTGTTTTCAGTCCCTAAAGAAGGCAAAAGAGACTGATAACCCTCGGTCTCTTTTGAGCTTTTTTTTAGTAGCGTATGTTGGATAAGGAAAGGTGAACCAATATGTAAGCTGTAAGCATGCTTTATACTTTATAGCTCTTACGAAAACACTAGAAATAAATATGACACAAAGCTTGATAAGTACGTAACCTTTCTTTCTTTTAGACCTTATATTATTAAGGCAAAAGGAACAAGAGTCTAAACCAAGGTTGCAACACCAATCTGTCTTTACAAAATCCCATAGACCAAGCCATGCAACAAAATTGTATTAAATTTGCGCCATCATTTTGAATGATCGAGATGGGTTCCGATCGTTGAGCATTTCGACCACCTTTCGCATGGAGGGCCTGTTAATTGGGAACGCTGAGGTACATAGAAGAGCCACCATCAAAACCTTCTCAATCTCATCGTAATCGCATGTCGACAGGTCCATCCTTGGATCAACAATCTGGCTGAGATCCGCGTTGAAACAACCGTTGCCGTCACCTCCGTTTTCTTCTCCTCCTTGAGGAGAAGCTACTGCGGCCCCGCTAACCCACTTCACCAAGTCCTGGTTCTCACCAAAGGACAAGTCATTTGGCCTCTTGCCCGTAATCAGTTCTAGCAGCACCACGCCAAAGCTGTACACATCACTCTTCTCCGTAACCTTGAGTGTGTATCCGTACTCTGGCAGTACGATAAAAAGCACAAGTGAATAAGTTAAAACACCCCTTTAATGAACCTCAATAATAAAAAGCACAGTTTACAGTCGTGGATGAGATTGTCGATAAGATTTGTTTTTGAATAATGCATATTACTTAACAGGGTACCACCTAGTGATGTAGAATAAAATAGTAAAACCCATGTTGGCAGAGAGCGTTTGTTGCTCCCCAAGGAGCTCAGCCACTTGTGCCAACAGTTGGCAGACAACAACATTTGACAATAACAAATATCAACTAGTAAGACCAGACACTAAGCAAGACCAAGGCCACAAGAAGTTGCCTGCATGATATTTAAATTCAGCCAATCTAATCTGTGCACCGTAATGGTTTCTAATCTCAATTTAACCTCAAATTGAAAACAACAGTGGGTCCCAAAGTTGCCATCACATGAGCCAGAGAATCTAATTACAAACCTAAAAAAGCAAAAGTTAGCAACCAACCAGAGAAACCCCAACAAAAGAATGAAAACGACTCACCTGGAGCAATGTAGCCGTAGGACCCAGCAATCCTTGACATGGCACCACAGCCAGCCGCCACGTCCTTTTGCAATGTCTTGGCCAGTCCAAAATCCGCCACCCGTGGGGTCCAGTCCTCATCCAAAAGTATGTTGTTGCTCTTCACATCCCGGTGCACGATAGCAGGAACACAGTCGTGGTGCAGATATGCCAGCCCATGGGCCGACCCGACCGCAATTTCGAATCTCTTGCCCCAATCCTCCAACGCCCCGACCTTCTCTCCGTGCAAGCAATCGCCCAAGCTCCCATTCTCCATGTACTCGTAACCCAATATCCTACTATCCTCACCGCTACAACAAAACATCAATTTTACGATATTGCCATGGCGGATCCGACCCAACGTCTCTACTTCGGTTTGGAAAACGCCCTCAGTTTCGGGTTTCCTTGACCCGCCCCACAGCTTCTTAACCGCCACAGTTTGGCCCGTTTTCAGCTTCACCCTATAAACATGACCCGATCCGCCCGTCGCAATTTGATTCTCTTTCGTTAAAGACGACATCACCTCCTCTTCGTTAAACCCGACCCGCTGGAATGTGGTGACCCGGTAAAGCCTCTTGGTTTTACCGCCAAATGCTTTGGATCTGAGTTTCAAAAACCAAGCCAGAGACCCGACTAGCAATATAACGCAGACGGATAAAATGACTATCAGAAATGGGGCAGCGGATTTGGGTTTGGAGCAGGTTGGCATGGGCTTTAGATCCGGACTGCATAGATTCGGGTTGCCCATTAGACCCGAGACATAGAGTTCGTAATTGAACCCGGAAGGAATCTTTCCGTACAGTTTGTTGTTTGAGACGTTGAACTGGTTGAGCTTGAGCTTAGTTAACTCCACCGGAATCTCGCCCGTGAGAAAATTTTGGGAGAGATCCAAGTAATTCAGCACCGGCAAGTCCCCGAGCTCGGGTGGGATCCAACCCGAGAGCCGGTTACTGGCTAGGTTCAACTCGATCAATTCGGTCCACGAACTCACTTGACTCGGAATCTGTCCAGAGAACATGTTCTCTTGCATCTTAAGCTTCTGCAACTTCTTCAACTCCGTTATGCAACGCGGCAAGTCGCCGGAGAACTGGTTTTTACTGAGGTCGAGCTTCGCGAGATCAGAAAGCTTGCACATCTCCGGCGGAAAACTGCCGGAAAACTGGTTGCCGGAAATTAGAAGCGTCGTGAGACCATTGGCAGCGGAAATCGAAGGCGAAACGGTGCCGTTGAACCTGTTGTTGTTGATTTGAAGAAAAGTAAGCAGAGGCAGACCCCAAAACTTGTCAGAAACGACGCCGCTGAATTCGTTGTGTTCGATTCGAACGTAGCCGAGAGAATCGCACTCGCTTAATGTATCAGGCAAGTTACCAGAGAAC